AAAAAATTATTTACTATTTTATTACTAGTGCGGCTAGTTTTTACCTTTTTAAAAAAAAAAGGTGTTACCGCGGTATCTTGCTTGTGTTTAAAAAATAATATACTAAACTTTTTAGGGGTTATAATAAAAGATTTTAATAAAAAAAAAGTAAGAAAGAAAGCTAGAATATTTAAAGGATTTATACGGAGTTTTAGAAAAATAAAAAAGAAAAATAAGTAAAAAGGTGTTATTTATTAATAAAAAAGATAGTGTTGTGGTGGGGGCATTACTAGTAATAAGTAAGTTATTAGTAAAGGCCTTTATAATTACTATAGTAATAAAACCTTATCCTAAATACTTTAAATATTTTATTAAAAAGCTTTTTTTTTTTTAAATAAATAGCTAATAACCGCTATTATAAAATTTAAAATAAAAAATACTTAATATTACTAGCTACGGAGGCTAAGATTATTATTTATAAAAAATATATTAAAAGTAAGCACCCCAAGTAAGAAAAAGAAATATTATTACGTGTTATAATTTAATATAATAAGGTAAAAACTAAAAAAAAAAGAAANNAAAAAAAAAAAAAGTTAAAAAAAAAGCCTTATATAAGCGCGGGGTTAACCTTACTTTAAAGTTAAATTTTTATTAAAATTTATAATAAACTTTTATTATTAGTCTTTTAAAAGGGCTAGCCTTTTTAGGAAGTTAATAACCTATAATTTTAACCTTTTTTTTAAACTTTTTTTACTTTTTACTTTACTTTATTTTAAAAAAATAAAAAGTAAGCCGGGGTAAGTTATGCCTGGTAAGGTTTTTAAAAATAAAGTATAAATAAGGGCTATTATAGTTAATAGTATTAAGCTAAAAATATATTAGGCGGTTTTTATTAGTATTAGCAAGCTAGGATTTTTTAGTTTTATACTTAAAAAAGTTATTTTAAAATTTATAAATCTTTTTATTATAAAAAATAATAGTATTTTTTATACGCTATAATATATTTTTTTTTATTTATAATATATTAGGGGCTTTAATAAAGGTTTTTAGTTTTTTATATTTATATTAAAATATATTTAAAAATAGGGGTTAATATTAAGGGTGTTATTTTATTTAAGTAAAAAAAAATATAGTTTTATTACTAGTATTAATGCCTTAGGCTACTTTTTTAGCTATGGTAATATTAAGGCCTAGGAATATTAATAGCCTTAAAAAATAATACTTAGGCCTTATTACCCTAAATAAAAGTTATATAAAGTACTTAAAGGCCTTAATAAAAGACCTTAAAATAATTTTATATTTAGTTCCTTTCCTATATATTCTCTCTTAATTGCCCGGCCTCACCGGCCGGGTGATCTCCAGCGCTAGCGTTATCACACTAGTAATTAAATTTTTATAATAAAGTATAATTTTAAAAAATAAAATAATAAGGCTAATATATTTTTTTTATATTTATTTAGCTTTGCAAAACCCTTTACTTATATTTATTATTAATATTAATATTTTCTCTGGCTGGCCAATCCCAAGAATAATATATTATACTTTTTTAAATAAATTTATTATATTAAATAATCTTATTTAACTTTTAAAAATTATTTATTTTATATATTTTATATTAATAAAAGTAATGGCTGTGGAACACTTTATATTATTATATATAATTTAATATTTTAACTATTATATACATAATTAAATTATGTATTATTTTAATTTAACTTATATTAAAAATCTTTATATAAATAAAGGCATATAAAAAATACTTTAAGTAATAAATTTTTATAAATATTATTTAATATTACCCTAAGTGTACTGGCACTTTACCTAGTTTATTTATAAATTAAAAGTTATATATAATAATATATATATATAATTTAAATTATTTTAAAATATACCTTCCCAGAATAATAAAACTTATTTTTATAAGTATTTATATTTATAGGTTTATTACTACTAAGTAAAATAGGCTAGTAAGTTAAATAATTTTATATATTTAATAATTAATATTATTTGCACGCTCGCGACGCCAAGGCAAAAGTAAAATATTTTAAAAATAATAAAAATAATAAGCTAAAAAATAAAAATAATAAAAAAATAATTAAAATTAAAAAAAGGGTTACAGGTAATAATGCCTTTAGTTATATAAATATTAATAATTAAGTTTAACTTTTTTTTATAATAACTTTTATTATTTTATAAGCATTTTAGGGGTAAATATTATTTTTTTAATTTATAGCTTAATTTTTATTCTTTTTTTAGTATTTATTAAAACTAATATTTTTTAGGTTATTTTTTTACATAAAATAAACAGGATGCAGCCAGTAAACTAGTTTTTTAATAATATAAAGTAATAAAAAAAATTTATATTTATAAGCTAAATTTATAACTAAAAAAGTATATATTAAAAATCCTATTATATATTTATTATAATTTATTACCGCCCCCTTAAAAAGCATATTTAATTATATATTTATATATTCTTACTAAAAATAAATAAAAAATATAAAAATATAGCTTGCACTTAGCTAATATATTACTAAAAATATAATTTAAAATAAATTTTTAAACTAAAATAACATGTAATATATTTTTAATAAGTAATTATATTTTACTAGTGTTTTCCTGTGTTAATTATACATATAAATTTTAAAGAATACTATAATATTATAATTACTTATTATATTATTATAATATTATTGCAAATCACGTGGTTATAATAAGACTACGCTAACTCCACCATATTCCCGAACCAGCCAACGGCGGGATGGATAAAAGCACCGGCATTGCAATGTGACTGCTATTGAAAATCCCCGCGAAAGTTGAGAACCAAGAGGGCATGGCATCATTCCTACGAGCGTGACTTACAATGTGTGCTATCAGACAGACCATCAGATCAAGGTGAGGCCTTTTGACTTCACCTCCAAAGCTATTCCTACAGAAGCTGTATGAAGTGGCATATGGCCGGGGGGATGGTCCATGTTTCGTACAGTTGGGTTGACTAGTGATATCTTGCTACCTTGCGCGCGCTCCTTACAAGCTGTTAATGCACTTCAAAGGTAGGCAAGCTTGAGCGAGAGTTCGACTGCTGGAGCTTTCCATCACGCAGGTATGAATGTGCTACTACTAGACTACCTCTAAGACTGCAAGTCCTGCGCATTTAAATCGGAAGCATCAACATATCTGGCTTAGCAACCTCGCGCATCCTTCGTCTTTTACATTCACCCATTATCCTCCTTTTTTTCCGGCACAATCTCAGTTGACGGATTCTCCGTTCCTGACGACCCCGCTGATTCTTGCCTGGTCGCCGACTGCCAGCTTCGTGGTGAATATCACGATGCCATCTCAAGTCTCGGAGAGGATTGCGTGTATTTCCTCCAGCTTTCCCCAAAAGGGTCTGAGGGATTCCGGTCTCGAAGCGAGCTCCACTTCCTCCAAACATGTGGGCTGCCTCCGTCGATCGACACGTCAAGATTCCCACGTTGTTACAGCGGAGCATTATACCCGATCGGCAGTTGCGCAATAGCAGAAAGGGGGAAGCGAAAACTCAAATATCTGCACATACTCCGCTGTCAGCAACGTCAAAATGACATCAACGCCGTGGAGCTGCAACCGGGCACAGACGCAGCTTCAGTGGACTTACCCGCCGTGGAGCGATGCAGGCCCACCTCCAAGATTCGGATCAGGACAGGAACTAAATCGAGCTTTGGTGGAGTGCAGCCGGGAACACCTCGATTCTCGCATATAAGGGGTGGGATAGACAGCCGAAGATCCACCAAGAAACCACCTTCAGCCTGGGCTAGTCCGGAGGAGCTTTGACCATGTATGAACCGGTTATGTGGATGTCATCCAGCCATCCATCTCCACGTCTGGATCTGTGCTCCTTCAATCTCGATTGGATCAGATCGCGGTCCCAGCGTGCAGGGATGAGATTCCATCCGCCCCAAGATTTACTCCATAGTCGACACTCGACACGCGGTCGAACCGGTTCCAGACATTGGTAAGTGTGGTTCGTCAGGGATGCAAGCGCCAGCCTCGCGGCTCATAGATCCATCATCCTGCAGGATGCCATCCCTTGCAATGAAGTAGACTAGCTCGATGCCTGACTCCTTCAACTTGACTCCGGCTGCAGGATGCACCATACTGGGTATGGCGTTCGCTTGGCTACCTGTGTGGCTTCAGCCTTCCCGCTGTCCCATTCGCAAGGGTATCCAAGAAGAGTAAAGTCTGCTCCGTACGGAGTACTGGTATTGACTCTACTACTTCTGAGACCTTAGCTGGTTATGGTCGAATTCTAGCTCGCTGCTCGCGATACTGGCTTGGATGGTTATGTAGTGACTGTGACTTGTCTGATGATTGAGTACTTGGTAGGTTGAATGGCTGCTCTCTGCAAAGTATGGTCGATGCTATGGGGTGGGTTCATAAAGTATAGTCAAGACTTTGCGGTCTGAAGCTCTGGCATAATAGGAGCGTTGGTTGGAGACTTCTTCGCCAACAATAACACACCAAGGCCACAACACATCATTCGCGCTGAAAACAGATCAAAATCCCATCCCGCAATAAGACACGTAGAAGGCGATACTCACTGGATAGCCGTCAAACCAAAGATACCCTTGAATAGTGGGAAATGGCCGATTCCAGGGTCCACCAGGTGTTGGGTTGCGAAAGAAATCTCCCGACGTCGCCGCCATTGAAGCTTGTTACGGCCACCACCCACGGCCTTATGCACACCCCCTCTCCGCGTACCTTCCTACTAACTGAGCTTGGCCTCGGTTTCTTTCTTTCCACCTCATCTTTGCAGATCACAGACCTGCCACTCCATAGACCGTTCTCGCCAGCCAGATGTGACGTATCTTGCCGAGCTGGGTCTTCCTCCAGCAATTGAGCTCCTCAGGCATCGAATATTTTCCGCTGAGCGGCTGGATGCGCTGCGGTGATGCCACTTTCCAGAACACCCCAGCGAGCATCGTGAACTTCAGCTTCCAGCGTCCTTTTTTGATCCATCCTACAATCAAACTCATTCCATTATGGTCTTCTCCTCGCCTTCTTGGGTGCCGCAGATCCCCTGCGAGATCCCAGACTCCGTTCCTGTCGGCCAGTTCGCTCTAGAGGGGAATGCGAAACTTCCCCCGCAGTGCGGAGGCAAGCCGCCGTTCGTTTGCGCAATAACGGGAAAGTCATATTCAAGCAAAACAGTCAGTGATCGCGTAGACTTTCTATCGCGAGCACTTGCGCGAGAGCTGGGATGGTCTCCGAATGAGGGGTCGCCGGAGGATAAGGTTGTCGGTATCTACAGCTGGAATACGGTGAGTAAAGGCGGTCTTTCGGTGCAATGGTCCTGCTGACAAGGCGTTTCAACTCTAGCTCGACTTCTTTGCGCTTTGCTGGGCTGTCCATCGGCTCAATGGTATCTGTCTTCCGCTTCACCCGTTCAGTATCGTCCCGGAGATCGTGGCGCATATGAAGAATGCGAAATGCAAGGTCTTGGTCACTTGTCAGTCGCTTATCTCGAATAGTTTAGAGGCTGCGAAAGAGCTCTCGCTTCCGGAAGACAGGGTATACACTATGGCCCTGCCGGAGGGGTACATCCAGAACCCGGAACCCATTGATCACCTCAAGTCGGTGGACCAATTGATCGCTGATGGCGAGGAGTTGGAGACACTTCCGCCTCTCAAATGGGAACATGGACGCGCAAAGACACAAGTCGCATACTATTGCGCTACGGGAGGTACATCGGGGAAGCAGGTATGTAGCGACAACCAGACACAGGAAACAGCTCGCTGACCCGAGACCAATGCCAGAAACTCGCCAAAATCTCGCACTACAACTTCATCGCCAATGTTATACAAGCATGCATGCACGAGAGCTATGCTAAGTCCGGCCGAAACGAGATCGCATTCGGCGCTATTCCGCTGACGCATGGTTATGGCTTGAATATCGGGCACATCATGGTCTACCGCGGGGATACCTATGTGATCACCCCACGATTCGACATGCAGCTGATGCTGAAAACGATCGAGCGGTTCCGTGTCGAGAGGCTATACGTTGTAAGCGCTTCCGATCCCAAAGGAGTTATTTTGGCTAATCGCCCAGGTCCCTCCAATTCTCGCGGCGTTGGCTGCAAACCCTTTCCTCCTCGATCTCCACGACCTCTCCTCTGTTCGAGATACCGTCACCGGCGCCGCAGCTCTCGATCGAAATGTCTCCTCCAAGCTCCATCAACTTAGGCCTACGTGGAGTATAAATCATGCATACGGTACGACTCCATCCATTGCCTTGGTGATGGACTCAACTAACACATGGGCATCGTACAGGACTCACCGAAACCGGCGTCATCGTGTCGCTCACGAGTCCGCACGATGTCTGGCACGGCTCGTCCGGATCTCTCCTACCAAGCTTCGAAATCAGACTTATCAGACCAGACGGAACCGATATCGAAAACCTGGATGAGCCCGGCGAAGTCTACTTCAACTCCCCTAGTTGTTTCGTCGGGTATGTTGGGGACGAAGAGTCAAATAAAAACATCTTCGATGAGAAGGGGTGGCTGAAATCCGGCGATATTGGCGTCTTCCGAACCTCGCCCAAGGGCTACCCTCATCTGTTCATCCTCGATCGAATCAAGGATATGATTAAGGTTAAGGTACGTCACTTCGAAACCTCGAAAACTACACCTTTTCCTCTCCACATCCGTGCTAACATCATCGTCACTGAAACAGGGCGACCAAGTCCTCCCCCGCGACATCGAATCCGTCCTCCTCTCGCACCCGGCCATCACCGACGCAGCGGTCATCGGCGTGGCCGACGAGCTCTCCGGCGAGCGCGCGAAGGCATACATCGTGCGCTCGAAAACAGTCATGGAAGAGATGGACGAGGATGATCTTGCCGACGAGATCGATGAGTTCGTCCAGGCTAGGCTGCATGAGTCGCACTGGCTGCAGGATCGCATTGTGTTCTTGGAGAAGCTGCCGAAGAGTGAGGCTGGCAAGGTGCTGAAGAAGGAGTTGAGGGCGTTGAATTGAGATACGGTGTTGGCAGCCTAGGTATCAACTATCATGTTATGCTTTGAATGTCCATTCGGTGGGTCTGGGAATCTTACTCCGTAGGCAGTGGATCTGCTGTTCAATCGTTAAATGTGACTCGTGGGATGCTTAACCGGTTCAACCTAGGCTCGGAGATTTTATCCGCAGTGTAGCAATGTTTGACCCTGTATCTGCATGTTGGTCCTTGAGTGCGAGGACAGATACTTTGATGATTAGCTTGAATTCATAGTAGATCTAGTTATGTATATACGTGTTTTCTTACCTACAACATACCGTGCTCACAGCAGTGGTGGTCTATTCAGGGCAGCGAATGCTTGAAATATATTTTGCTAGCATGTCTGCTGGACCATAAGCACCTCGATGATGCAACCAACACGACGACCGACCCAAAAGACGCGTTTAAAAAGCAGCGAATCAATTTCTCTATACCCAAGCTCCAAGTCTCATCCGCAACATATTCTAATTCTGATTCTATCCATTATAAACAGAAACCCTCCTATACTCACAATACCTCCCAAACCCTTCATCGCCCCGCAACCGCTCCAATGCCTCCCTCTCACACTGAACCTGGATCTCAAAACCCCCCTCCTGATCCAGCGGCAAGAGATAAAGCAGCCCCGTCTCCCTTGAATACGACCGAATGCACTTTGGTGACCCCAACCCGCTACCCCAACTCTGCTTCATAGCCTCGATGTTCGAGATATCCGTGACGCCGAGGTCAGGGCCGGGGAAGTAGTTGTAGTTCCACGCGACGTCTGTGACGGCGGGCGCGTCGTTCACGAGGCCGATTAGCGTGCGGAGGCTTTGCTCAGTTGTGTTTTCGGTTGCGGCGCGGACGGCTTCCGCGAGGGTTGTTAGAGAGCCTGGTGTTGGGGCGCTGCAGATCTCGGCGATGGGCATGCGCACGCGCGCGGTCGGCTCGTTGATGTTGCCGACGAATGTATCTGGGAAGGGGGGCTTTGTGCGCGCGCGGAAGTCCAAGCGCGTCGTGAAGAGGGAGGTGCCGTCGGGGTAGACCTGGTCCAGCTGGCGCGCGATGCTGAGGTGTTTCCAGACGAGGGCGGAGACGGCCTCGACCTTTGTGAATTGGGTCTTTGACTCGGTTTGCGCGAGGGCCTCGCGGAGGGACTTTAGGCTGTTTGCGCTGAGGTACCAGGTGCTCACGGCGTAGGGGGCTGTGATGGGGTTTTCGCGGTCGAGGAGGAAGGAGCCGCTTCCGTCGTCGCGCGCGGAGCTGTCGATTGTGTATTCGGGGAGTTGCTCGATTGTTGCGTCGCGGAGGCCGTGGTCGAGGCGCCAGCGGTCGCGGGTGCCCTCTGCTTGTGTTGCGGGGAGGTCGAGTTTGCCGTTTGTGACAGACGTCTGGGTGTGTCGGGCCCAGGCGTCGGTGAAGATGCCCATACCTCTAGCATCGCATACTGCGTGGTGCCATGAGATAGCGATGATGACGCCTCCCTCGATGAGATTCACCTGGAGGAATGTCGCGGGGAGTCCGTCTGCTCCTGGCGCTGGCTGCGGGATGAAGAGGGTATCGTGAGGGATGTCAGAGACAGGAAAGTGCTTAGCAGCCAGATTGGAGTAGCTCCCATAAATCCAATCATCTTGCTTTGTCTGATCCACGACTTTAAACGGAACGCCGGAATCATGCGAGATGCGCAGCTCTAGGTCCTTTCGCTGAGAGCCCGGAATGGGGGCAACTGTGGTCGCGAAATCGGGGTATTCGCTCAAGGCTACCGCGAGACCTGACTTTAGGTGGTGCACAATGTCGCTCGTGTCCTTTGAAGTGTCTTGCTCGAAAATCAAGAGTGTCTTGGGGTAAAAGCGCATGATTTGCTGGTCGAGCGCTGAGAGCTTGATCACGTCCTCGCTTAGAGGCACGCTGAGCTTGATTTTTGTTTCTTCCATGGTAACGGGTTCTGTGCTGCGATAGCTGACCTAACGACTTAGAAGTCTACGTCGTGTAGATTCAAGCGATGAACTATGTGAAAAAGTAAAAAAGGCAGATGGGAGCATATATGCAGCGGGGCGGAAGGCTGGAAGTGCCCAAATGCGACGCACCTTCCCGGGTCCCTGCGGCAACGCCAAGCCAGAACACCAACTGCACTCTGCATCTTTGACTCTTCCTGCTCCCTTCTCCTCACCTCGTCTCTCCAGTCTCACATTGACACTTTCATACGTAACCAAGCCTGACCTTCAAGGTCCGTTCCAGGCTTGATGAGTACTCCGCAGTCAGAACAACTCCAAACACTTAGCGCCTCCACGCAGAGCACAAACGCATGGCAGCCGAGCTCAGCCCACTCTGCTTTCCTTCGCGTAAAACACGCCGTCGATCCATGATGCTTCCCAGCCCTTTGAGCCAAATGGACCGTCGATCCAGTTCTTTTGGCTCGGTGAACTCGACGTGCCAGGTCCCGTCATCTAGTCCTTTTGGGTCTGTCGATCCGATCGTATTTCCTTCTGTTTCCTTCGTGGCGTCATAGTGGGCTGACCTTCTATACTCACCAGCGCATTGGTCCGGTCTTCTCCACGTCCATTCTGTGCCAGACACGTCCTAGGCTGTTTCGAACACGGTCGAACTCGGTAGCTGCAGGAAATGAGAAACCGACCGCGGAGCGAGCCCAGCTCGTCCATGCAGCATGAGCCCTGGCAGTGGCCCCGGCCATGGCACGTAATGGGCACGGTAACTTGGTACGCCGTGGGTGGACCTGACATGATGGGTTAGAACCAGGGCTCTTTGGCTCTAGGGCGTGTTATACTTAACGATGCCGTGGTTTCTTTTTCCCTACTGAGACCGATATTATCACGATACCCCATATACCCAAGGCCCACGACTATCACCGTGCCTTTATAATATACTACACAACGATGAGCCCTACATCCAGATACCGTGTTGACAGGGCCGATAGCGAGTCGGACAGCGAGAGGCTTTCCTCATCGCCGTGGTCCGTACTCAGCGACAATGATAGCAATACCTCAGACGAACGCGGCCCAAGAGCTGGCCCTGGCTCACTTGAACCAATTGCTATCATTGGCATGGGATGTCGACTCTCAGGAAGTGCAACAGACGTTTCAGGGCTATGGGAAATGTTGAAAGCCGGTCGCTTAGGATGGACGCCAGGGCCTGGGACACGGTTCAACATGAAGGCCTTCCAGGAGCCAACAGGAACCAGATCCGGGACGGTAAGCAATCTCTATTGATGCCCGAGCAGGATCAGCTGCTAAGTTTAGTTTCACTTTGAAGACAAATGCTACCGGAGGACACTTTATTCGAGAGGACCTTGGTGCGTTCGATGCGACCTTCTTCGGTGTCAACCCAGTTGAGGCACAGGTATGTATGCATCTTGCACAATGCAGCCTCGCGCTTTCGGATCTGGTATTGAACGTGATTCTGACTGGGCACCTCTATTATTAGGCGATGGATCCCCAACAACGCCTTATGCTCGAGGTCGCCTACGAATCCTTTGAAAATGCCGGAATCACAATGGACTCGCTGTGGGGATCAAATACTGGAGTATACGTTGGCCAATGGACGTCAGATTATCACGAAATCGTCACTCGAGATGTTGAGAAACCTCCACTATACCTTGTTACCGGCACGGGCCCTGCGATCACATCCAACCGAGTTTCATACGTCTTCAACTTGCGCGGGCCAAGCTTCACAATGGACACTGGATGTTCGTCAAGCTTAGTCGCGCTACACCAAGCCGTCCTCAGTTTACGAAACGGCGAAACCACACAATGCTTTGTTGGAGGTGTAAATCTGCTTCTAGACCCTCAACGATTTCACTACCAAAGCAAATTGAAGATGTTTTCGAAAGATGGACGTTCTTTTCCGTTTGATGCCCGCGCCAATGGGTACGGACGAGGCGAAGGAGTTACTGGAGTCGTGTTGAAGCCGTTATCTGCTGCCCTGCGCGATGGCGACCCCATTCGAGCAGTAATCAAGAACAGTGTGCTAAACCAAGATGGCCGGACGCCTGGAATCAGTGTGCCGAGCTCCGTCGCCCAGAAAGAGGCCATCATTCGGGCCTACAGGCAGGCCAAGCTCGACTTGTACGCCGACTACGTGGAAGCGCACGGCACTGGAACTAAGGTGGGAGACCCGCTGGAAACCAGTGCAATTGCGGCGGCTTTGACGCACAAGAGGTCGCCTTCTCGTCCTTTGCCTATCGGTTCTATAAAGGGAAATATTGGTCACACAGAAAGTGCCGCTGGACTTGCTGGACTAATCAAGTCTGTTCTGATGCTGGAGAATGGCATGATCCCGCCTCAGGTGAACTACGAAACGACGAACCCCGATATCCCTCTTGAGAAGTGGAACTTGCGAGTATGTAGCGTCCGCTCTCCGCAAAGCAAAACATTGCTGACCCTAGCAGATCCCCACTAAGCTCGAGAGACACACTCTGCGCCGCATTTCTCTTAATAGGTATGTCATAGTCCTAATCAACCAAGGCTGATGTGCTGACCTTGACTAGTTTTGGGTATGGCGGAACAAATGCCCACGTAATTATCGATGCGGCTCATGAGGCAATCTCTGCTTTCGGTCGCCCGTCTTTGAGCAGCTCCATGCAGCTTACTTACCACTCTGAGAAACCCCGAGCATTTATGGTCAGCGGCGCAAGCGAGAAGGCTTGCCAAAGAATATGCGCCCGGTTGGCGAAATACCTTATCGTCAACCACAGAAACTCCATCAACCCCGACGCATTGCTTGCTCGCCTCGCGCACACCCTGGCCAAACAGTCGGTGCATGCTTTCCGCGTCGTATTCGTTGCATCAGAAATAGACGATCTTATTAACCAGCTGAACAATGCCTCCCACTCTGCTATTCCTCGACGGGAGAAAATTGGACAACCCCGCATTGCTCTGATCTTCAGTGGTCAGGGTGCGCAATACGCTGAGATGGGCCGTGATCTGCTCAAGAGCTATCCTTCTTTCGTTCGATCGCTCGAGCGAGCACGTCAACAATTATCCAGGCTCGGCTGTACGTGGGATCTTCTCAGCGAACTCTGTCGACCAAAGGCCGACTCTCGGGTAAACGAGCCGGCCTTCTCCCAGCCCATGTGCACGGCGATTCAGTTGGCCCTGGTGGACCTCTTGAATGAGTTTGGCGTGTCGCCCTCGGCTGTTCTCGGCCACTCCAGTGGTGAAATCGGCGCGGCTTATGCTGCCGGTGCACTGTCTTTCAGAGATGCGATCACCGTAGCATATTACCGTGGACGACTGGCCAGCGAACTCCTCGCTGAAAATAAATACCCAGGAGCTATGATTGCAGTTGGCGCGTCACCCAACGTTGCGCAAGACCATATTGACAAGTTGGGCTCGGATGTTGGACGCATGCGTGTTGCTTGCTTCAACAGCCCGTCGAGCGTCACGGTTTCAGGCGATCTTTCCGCCATTGATCGCCTGAAGGAGGTCCTGGACGCGGAAGGCTTATTCAACCGCAAACTCATGACCCATGGTGCCGCTTACCACTCTCATCAGATGGAGCTTATTGAGGAGAAGTACATCGCCGCATTGAAAGGTCTGAAGGCCAAGTCCATCGGCTCGTCCGTCCGCATGTTCAGTTCTGTCACCAGTAAGGAACTCGATGAAGATACCATCCTCGATGGGGGTTACTGGGCGCGAAACCTGGTTAGTCCGGTTCTCTTTTCACAGGCACTACGTGCTCTGTGCGAGCAGGAATACAATGGTCTCCCCATTGATACGATTGTGGAGGTTGGACCTCATTCTCAACTTGGAGGCCCTGTGAACCAAATCCTGAAGACAATACCGGGTCCCCACGGCCAGGCCACATACACCAACACGCTGAAGCGAGGCGACGACGCGGAGACTGCACTGCTTAGGTGCTTGGGGTTCTTGGTCATTAAGAACGGCTCGGTCAGTCTCAATGACCTTAACAAAGACTCCAAGGATGGCCACATACAGTCATTGGTTGACCTGCCGCCATACTCTTTTGACCATGACCGTATCTTCTGGCACGAGACGCGTCTATCCAGGGACTACAGACACCGCGAACATCTGCCACATGAGCTTCTTGGATCTCTTTCTGCGGATGTTAATCGATTGGAGCCCCGCTGGCGGCGCTTCCTAAGCCTCAAGGAGTCTCCTTGGCTACGCAACCACATTGTCCAAGGACTCATCACCTTCCCCGCTGCGGGCTATATTACGATGGCAATCCAGGCTGCACGCCAACATGTAAATGCAACCAGCCCAGGCTCCAAGATCCAATACCTCCGTTTCCGTGATGTTAGCTTCGGCAAGGGCCTTGTCCTCTCCGATGAGAATCCCGATGTGGAGATCTCGTTGTCTTTGCGCCCACAGGCCCGTACTTCTCGCGAGTCGTCAGGTGTCTGGAATGAGTTCCGCATTTTTACCGTGACGCCGGACCAAAAGTGGACTGAGCACTGTCGTGGTCTTATCCAGGCAGAAATTGACTCTGTTGAGGGCTTCAAGACTGTGTTCACGCCCAAGGATATCTCCCTTATTGACTCGGAGTGTACCCATGAAGTCACGCCGCAGAAGTTCTACGCTGTTGGCAAACGTAATGGTCTTGACTGGCAGCATCCGTTCAACAACATGCACCAGATTCGCAGCAGCAAGGATTCATGCGTTGCGACTGCTCGTGTTCCGGAGTACGAAATGGCTCCAGGTGGGATGGACGATTTGCTCCACCCGGCCGTGCTCGATTCCGCCCTTTTCCACGGCCTCTCGACTGTCATCTTCCTGGAAGACAACAAGTCATCTGCCTACGTCCCAACCTTCATCAAGCAACTCTGGATAGCGAATCGTCAGGCCGCCTCGGGTAGCGACCTAATTTGTTCCACGACGCGACGGAACGAGCCACTCCTCTTTGACCTTCATACCAAGGATGCCGATGAGCGGATGGCCCTCGTAGCGCAAGGTGTCCGTGTCACAAACTTGGGAGGTGATATTGCCGCAGGTGTTGCCAAGAAGGAAGCATGCCACTCCCAGACCCTTGTCCCCTACGTTGATGCTTGGACAACGGAACATCGAGACGAGGTCTGCAAGGCCACTATCGCGCCGGGCTCTCTCGTTGACACCAACCGTGCTCTAGACGCCATCACTATTAACTTCCTCCAGAACACTTTGCGAGAAGTGTCCCCAGGCGACATCCAAGAATCCTATCTCCAACGCTACTTTGACTGGATGGGTACGCTGAGTGAAGACACCTTTGAAAAGTCACTACTCAGCAAGAAGCCCGAAGATCTCGGAGTCATCGGTGAGGCGATCGGTGTCCTGGGGCCACATCTTGCGGATATTCTCACTGGCAAGACCTCTGCGTTGTCGTTACTCAACTCCAACAACCTTTTGTCTCGCGTTTACACTGAGTGGTGCTCGGCCAGGGTATACCCGCAAATGCAGGCCTACTGTCGCGAATTAGGCCATTTCAACCCCAATATGAAGGTTCTCGAGGTTGGCGCTGGCACAGGATCTGCCACACTGCCGATTTTGGAAGCACTAAACGGTAGCGATAACCAATATATCCAGCGTTATGACTTCACCGACATCTCACCCGGTTTCTTCGAACCCGCCAAGGAGCGCCTGGGCGACCTTGCCAATGTTGTCGAGTTCCGTGTTCTGGATGCTAGTCGAAATGTACAAGAGCAGGGCTTCGAGGAAGGTTCCTACGACCTCATTGTTGCGTGCAATGTCATCCATGCCACTCCCCGGATTGATGAGACTCTCCGCAACATTAGACCCTTGTTGAAGCCTGGAGGCAGGTTCATGCTAATGGAAATCTCCCGATACACTCTCTTTGGTAACATGGTCTTTGGCTTGTTCGAAGGCTGGTGGTCTGGCTATGATGAGGGTCGCACGCGCTCGCCTCTTCTTACAAACGCCGAGTGGTGCGAGCGTTTGGAGCGCGCTGGCTTTGCTAATGCAGAGAAGGCTTTTGTTGACTATCCTCATGAGGATGGTGGCAACTTGAGCGTCTTTATTTCTACCGATCCCCTCCCTAAGCGAAGCGAGTCGCTACCGATCCGTCTGCTTACCGATCCCAGCGCGGCCATGGCTTCAGATGATTCTTTGCAAGCTATTCAGCAGGCTTGTAGCGAAACGTCCATTTCTCTCTGTCCCATTACCTCTCCGTGTCAGTCTGACGGTATCGTTGTCATGCTTCCGGAACTTGCGAAGTTGCTATGCGCTGAGCCCGATACGAACGTTTGGACTTCTTTCAAGAACTGGATCTGGGGAGCGCGCGTTGTGCTGTACGTCAGCAACTGTACCATGGAGAAGCCTTCTGACGCAGAATCAGGCTTATGGACTGGCTTTGCCCGCACCATGCGCCTGGAATACCCTAATCTGCGCCAGATAGTTTTGGACATCCAGACTCCTGGCGTTCCGGTCATGGACAAGATTGCAGAGATATTGCCGACAATATTGAGCAGCTCGAGCTTTGACCTTGATCGCCCTGGTAGTGAAGTCGAAAACGAGTTCACAGAACGTAATGGACAACTGTTCGTGTCGCGCTACGTCTACCGTCCTGACGTCAGCCGCGACGTGGATCTCACCAGTCGGCAGGCAGCCCCAGAGCTTGTTCCTTTTGTTGGAACCAACCGAACCTTGACTGCGGAGCTTGGAGTTCCGGGTCTTCTGGAGAGCATCCGCTGGAAGGACGACATCGAGGGTCCACCTCTTGGGCCTGATGATGTTCGCTTCGAGCTTCGAGGTGCGAGCATTAACTTTAAGGATGTCTTGATTGCTGCTGGTCAGCTGGAGGGCATCACGGAGATGAGGAATGACTGCAGCGGTGTGGTGGTCGAGGTTGGAGAGAACATGAAGGATCGCTTCAAGCCCGGCGACCGAGTTTGCGCGCTCTACTCTCGCTCTTACACCAATTACCCCATTGTGCATGGTGATTGCTGCCAGATCATACCCGACACTCTGTCCTTTGCTGAAGGAGCATCCCTTCCCATTGTTTGGGCCACGGTCCACTTTGGTCTCGTCGACAAGGGCGCTCTCTCGAAGGGCGACAAGATTCTCATCCACTCCGCCGCAGGCGCGGTCGGTCAAGCCTCAATCATGCTTGCTCAACATCTCGGTGCTGAGGTATTTGCTACGGTCGGAAGCGACGCAAAGCGCGACCTCCTCCATACTAAATATGGCGTTCCGCACGACCACATCTTTTCAAGCCGCACGGCCGCATTCTACGGCGGAATCATGGAATACACGGGCGGATATGGTGTGGACGTTGTTCTGAACTCTCTCAGCGGCGAGATGTTCCGCGAATCGTGCAATGTCCTTGCTTCATTCGGACGGTTCGTCGAGATTGGCCGGAAGGACCTGATGGACGATGCTCTGATGCCTATGGAGTTCCTTCTTCGTAACATTACGTTCTCCTATGTTGATTTGACGGCTATCATTGAGCAGAGGAAGCCTCTTGCGAGGCGACTGCTGCGCGATGTCGCGGACCTCGCTGCCGCTGGCTCTATCAGGCCAGTGACCATAACTACGATGCCCATTTCTGACATCGAAACGGCTTTCCGCCAGATCCAGGCTGGCAAGCACACTGGAAAGATCATTCTCACGGTTGAAGAGGATCAGCAAGTCAAGGTCAGTACCGGTCACTCACAGTAAGCTGCAGCATGCTAACGTACTCAGGCTGTTCCATCTATGCCGGCTCAAGCTCAACTTCACGAAGATCGCTCGTACATTGTCGTCGGTGGTTTGGGTGGTCTTGGTCGCTGTCTTACCACTTGGCTAGTTGACCATGGCGCGAAGCACATCGTGGCCCTATCGCGCTTCGGCGCGAAGGATGCAGACAGCCGCGCCTTTGTCGAGGATATTCAGCGTCGCGGTGTGAATCTCATTACACCTCCATGCGACGTTGTCTCTCCAGACGAGGTCGCCGCGATGGCGCAAAAACTCGAACACTCAGGTCTCCCACCAGTCCGCGGAATCATCAACTCGGCCATGGTCCTCCGAGACACGCTCTTCGACGGCATGACGGTTGATGACTGGCGCACGGCGCTATCTTCCAAGGTCCGCGGATCGCAGAACCTGCACGCGACCTTCAAATCCCTTGACTTTTTCGTGATGATGTCCTCCATCGTCGCTATCCGCGGCAACTACGGACAGTCCAACTACAGCGCAGCCTGCAGCTTCCAAGACACATTCGTCCGACAGATGGTGCACGCCGGCGAGCCAGGCTTCTCCATCAACATCGGACCCATCCGCGACGTCGGATACGTCTCCGAGAACCCCGAAGTCGCCGAGGCCCTCCGCCGCAACGGCATGGGCTCCATCGGCGTCAGCGACGTTCTCGTCGTCCTCAACCACGCCATCACGCACGCCCGCGACAACGACCCAACCTCCTGCGTCGCATCAATCGGCCTCATTCCCTCTGACGACGAAGCCGAGAACGGCCGCGACTTTCTAACAACAGATAGACGCTACGCGCAACTTGTGAAGCACGAGGGCGGAGCCCAGAAGAGCACGGGCGAGTCCGTCGACGCAATCACGCTGCTCTCCGCCGCGACGCAAATGGAAGAAGCCGTTGATATCGTCACGGATGCCATCCTCAACCAGCTAAGCAAACTCATCGCCACACCGGTCGAAATGCTCTCTGCCTCCCAGAGCCTGGACAGTTATGGTGTTGACTCGCTGGTTGCGGTTGAGCTACGCAATTGGATCGGCGCGTACCTCCAGGCGAATGTCCAGCTTATGGTTATCCGCGGGACAGGGAGTATTTCGCAGCTTGCGGGGATTGTGGCGAAGGAGTCGAGGGTTGTTAAGCTTTAATCCTTGCTCGTGTTTTATTGAATGGGTAATATGTTTTGTATTCGGTGTTTGAGGTTTCAAGGTTTAATTTGTCTTGCTTTTGTTGTTGACCGATTTGCCCTGCCATAATCTTGTTATGATGTATATTGATATTATCTCTAATGCTTCCAATCTACATAATCAGATACACTTGAATATGATCTGTCGATATACTATTTTGTTGTTCTCAAAAATTGAGTCCATAATCTAATTCTCTTCTCTTCTCTTCTCATTTATACCCTTCTAGGCACGAGATCGTAGCATGCGACTACACCACAATTAGAATAGAAGCATCCTCTTCACCTCACCTCCCTTTCATCTCTTTGTCTTAATAGCAATGGCCAAGCGAGATAAGAATGGTTCGGACCTCTTCTTCCACTACGTTAGTACTTCCGTCGCAAATTTGCCGCACCCAAATACCGTCGGAAATATATTTTGGCACCCGGGAGAACCTTCGACATCGAGGTCCACAGCATGGATGGACGGAGATCCAAGGCACGTTACACTTGGACTGCATCAGCCGGTACACTTGCAGTACATGTACTGGATGAGCTGATATCCTGTATACCACTCGATCTACTCGGAAAAAAAAATCCAGCGTCCTACCAGCAGTGATGTAACCGTGGATCGGAACTAGCATCGGCTCCCGACCGAACCGCGGTCGCTCCAGCCCAGCAGCAGTAAGCTTATTTTAGCAGAACACTACGAGGACGACAAATGGTGGTGGGGTATAAGTATGGTACCATGGATTGTTTTATGCAGTACTCCGTAATGATTGTACTATCAGTGCTTGTTCCAAATTAATGTCCCGTTCAGTTCCCTCCAGCAGCAGCGCTTGCGTGCTAGACTAACTCCTATCCAAAGAAAAATTTCCATCGCTCAAAGTTCCAGCCCAGTGTATATATGTGCATGCTTCAAATAGATCGGGTATATGTGTGTATGTAGTGTCGATAAAGTCCGACCGTGCGTTCATCGGTTCTGACGCGCCCGGCAGCGACCGTGCCTGATGTGCTTGTGCTTGGCCGTGGATCGGGTGAAACGCTGGCCGCATTGCTCGCAGGTGAAGGTCTTCGCCCGTCCGCTCTTCTCACGTAGGTGCCGCTCGTAGTTGCCGAGTGAGGAGAAAGCCCGACCGCCGCAGCTGTGCTCCCAGCACCGGATTGGGGCTTTCGTGTCGCGACTCGGCTTCGTCTTGGGATGCGCGGAAGGGACCGGTGACGGGGCGCTGATACCGCAGTCGGACGGAGAGGAATGATCGCTTGGGGTTATGGTGCCTGACGACGCGTTCGAACTGTCCGGAAAAGGGCTGTTGAGCTCAAAATTGGATGACGAACTGATGGGCGACGGATTCACAGGTATCATTGAAGCTGTGAACGTATCGAGTGGGTGTACCCAATTCGTGGTGCTCAGCTGGCCATCGGAGAACTGTCCTAAGGAGATTGGGTTGCTGGCAGGGACGCAGTTGGACAAGGGCAGGCAAGGATAATCTGGCATGGAGTAGAGAGGCGCCTGCCAAGTTTGACCCATCTTGAAGGCCCCGTCATTTTGGTTCGTGACAGGGGAGACGTCGACATTCCAACTCGTCCAGAACGCCTCCGCAAAGGGTGCTGTCGGAAAGCTATAAAGCGGGTTTTCGAAAGCTGCCATGGTCGGAGTAGAGCTCACAACAAGCGAGGGGGAGTAGAAGAATGCGATCGGGGTACGGCTCCGGCAGAGATCGATCGAAGGATGAGGATACCGGACAGGGTCGTTCTTTCCGTTGTTTGGACATACAAGTGGTGAATGTCAGGAAGGAACGGGAGGAGAAGGAGCAACGGGGGTAAGTCGAAGAAACTCGGCGAAGTGGAACGGGAGTGATGCGCTGCAGGGAACACTGTGCGAGCGCGCGCAGATTGCGTCTGAGGCTGATTGCGATAGGTAGCTGTCGGATACGAAGCCGCCAGCAATCACGACCAGCCAAGCCAAGCCTGACTCGGATATGGTGCAGCTGAACTGGATCATGGCTGGCAGAAGAACGCCATGTCGGTCTGGCCCACAGCGGTGTGTGACTTCGATGAGCACAATATTTGTGACATTTTGCGAGGCAGCGAGATTGGTGACTGGACGGGAGCCTGGTGGGACCTGTCTCGCCTAGATCTTGGAAGATCGGCGCAAGCTCTTAGCTTGCAAACAAGGTCCGCCCTGGGGCAATCCCGCAATCGCTTCCGTTCCTGACATTCGGTACTTTGGAGACACGTCTTACAGCCACTGCGCCGCTGCGCCGCTGCAGGTGCCAGGTAGGGCCACGACCTTGCGTGGGATCGGGCTATTGGCCCAGCTGGCTCTCACCTAGCGGAATTGGGATAAAGCATGAGCGGGTGTACGGTGATTGTGAGGAGGTGAAAGAAAAAGTAAACATAATCTCGGACTTCCTCGCGGCCTTGCCCATAGGAGCTGTAGCACAGTAGCTCTGTTTCTTGCCACCACCAGCAGTATGTAGACCTAAAGGTCGAGACCCTGGCATCTTGCCCGCCGTGAGTTTATTGATCGTCGCTACTCAGACAAACAGTGGGCTCGTTACCTCATCGAGGATGCGGAAGCGGTTCTGGTTCTGGATCTCGCCCTTTTCGTCTGCCAAAATTGCAATTCTAAAAAGAGTAAGGGACTCTTGTTATTGCGTCAGAGCTCCATATGCCGATCAGATCGGAATCCATCAGCCCGGTTCTCCTACTGCTCCGTAGACAGGCTGAGAACTGGAGACTCATGTTCCAAGATCAATTGACGAACATCAAATCTGTCACAAACATGGGCCGACCGGATACCTTCCACCAATAACGTTTTGATCAATCGTGGACAGATTTCCTCATCGGATTAAGGGTTGATCGCTTAGGGTCCTTGTTGTTTTGATTATTGTTGCAGAGCACCAAGCGATTGTATCTAATTAATACCCGGCGTGGAAAGACAAGAATCAAGATTGATGCAGGCCTCCATGTGCTCTGTGCTCGTCACACAATGAGGGGAATCCCTGTTGTGCTACCCAACTCTCCAAAGGAAAAGCAATGTGGAAGGTCGCGGCACCAAGTTCCGATTATCGAATCCTGCTGACGGCTAAGGACGCCACGAGGAACATTTCTTTGTCACTGGGCTCCTAGAGTGACCCATCAATAACACTGTCTTCACTAGTTCCTTTAGGCTTTCTCATTCATTACTTGGTAAATTGATGCTGACAGCCTGACACCCGGGAGTTGCGTCAGGTTCAGAATCAGAGTTCTCACCCATTTCCAACTTTCCCAGTCCCGGGCCACGGCCCGCTCTGTTGCGGGGACAAGAGAAGACGAACCAAGGTACCCTGCAGGCCAAGTGGACCTAGGCACGGATCTCATTCGAGATGCGTGATCGACATCGCGGTGGAGCTGGGCGAAGGATAAGGAGCTTGAACCTCGGCGAATTGGAGTATATGCAGTTTTGGAGTAGTGCCATCATCGATGCACTTGCCATCGCGTAGACTAACTCTAAGGCGCGTTTGTCGGTAATAGTGTAGTGGTTTGTATGCGACCCTGCGCTCAGCAAACTTCGCGGCCATATTGCTTTGTCCATAATCGCATAGTGTCCAGCTCGATATTTGCGGAGAACCAACCCAAACTGCAACGGCAGTGAATTGCTTCTTTCTCTTTGACTTCGACATCTAATAATAATCCTTATATAATTCCGAGATGGCGCAGAACATGCTTGCGACCGCGGAGCTTTCGAGCCGGACGGATACAAACAATGAAGCGATTGAACAGGACATCCGAGAGATATGCGCAGAGGTGCTGCGCCGGCCGGTGGGAAAGATCAAGTTGAACAAGTCGTTTGTCGCGCAGGGAGGAGACTCTCTGCTGGCAATCAAGCTGATGGCGCGTTGCGGAGAGGCGGGGTATACAATCACGATCAATGATATGCTTCAGGCGACGAGTCTTCGCCAGCTATGCCAGTCGGTGCAAGTGGTAGAGGGGAGAAGCGCGCCGTCGAAATCGTCGCCTCCCGCGCTAGACGGACCTGCTGGCAGCGTGGAAGTCCGGACTGCACCATTAACGGCCGCGCAAAGAATATATGCTTTGACGAAAGCTTGGGATGCCAAGTTGTTTCAACTAAAGGGCGGAGTTGCGGAATCGTCGCTTTCTGCGGCACTGAACTCTCTTGTTAGCCGACACCCTATCCTCCGAGCGAACTTTATAACACTCGAGAACAACGAATTGAAACTCACGTACGACACGACCGGAAACTTCGCCCCCCGACGAGTGCGGATCCCGACGAGCTCAGAGCACTCAGAGAAGGAGTTCCTGGGTGACAGGTGGGAAGGGGACGAGACGGAGAAGGGAAGTTTCTTCGCGGCGACCGTGTTTGTGCAACACCAACCAGACACGTGCCTCGCCCGCCACCTCCGGCTCGACCTTCACCGCGCCCTCGTCGACGCTGCCTCCTGGAACATCATTCAAAACGATCTTGATGATGCGCTAAGCGGCAAATACATCGCGAGCGACAATCCAGGCCCTCAGTTCGACACCTGGATAAGATCGCAGAACCGCACGGATTTCGACTTCGATTGGCCGATACTGGCTAAAGACACGGAGCGGCAGCCGAACGGCGACGAACCTAGAGGAGGAAAGAGACATGGACTGGAGGAGCACAGCGGTTTCGCGGAGGTGGTTGTTTTGGAAACAGAGGCAGAAGGTCTGGGAAAGCTGGACGATAGAGCTATCCACGCGGTGCTCCGTACCCAACCCGAGGACTTTGTCATCGCTGCACTCGACCTTGCGCTGAAGGGAGTGAGGAAGTCGGAGGAGGCTTTCGCCTTCGGGTTGATCTCAGATGGCAGGCACGGGGCGGGCCCCGAGCTGTCAGGGACGGTAGGCTGCTTCGACACAGTCACACATCGATCGGTCGAAAGGGAGCATGAGGAGAGCGGAATAGGCCTTCTGCGAAGAGTCAAAGATACGCGCATGGGCTTTACGACAAGCGGGCGTACACCAACAGGCGGCATTGAAGGGAAATATGTTCTCCTACATCTGGGGCAACTATCGATGGTGCCTCAACTAAGGGACGGTACGCTCCATGAGGTCTTCCATCACGATGATTTCCGTATACTACCTCCAGAGTGCTTAGCATTCATCGAACCTTTTTGGGAGCAGCAGCAGCTTAAGCTACGTCTGCGGTCCCAGTCACCCGATCTCGGTAGGGAACAACTGGGTCAGGTCGCTGGCACGTTCCGCGCGGCCTTGAAAGAGTTGATCGCCGAGTGTCAAATGAGCCAACCTCAAGGCACCCTAAGCGACTTTCCCTTCCTCCAGATCGATTACCCAGAACTTGACAATCTCGTATCGACTCAGCTCAAGACCGTGACGGCCGACCCTTTCCACGATATCGAAGCGGTATTCCCCTGCGCGCCGCGACAGGAAGCGTTCTTGGTGGCCCAGGCCGTTTATCCCGAACTGTACCAATGCTCTTTCGTTGTTAACCTGAGCACCGGAAGCTCAGACACGGAAGTCGATTTCAGTCGTCTGCGCGATGCGTGGGGTCAGCTTGTTGCCCGCCATTCCGCTCTCCGAACAGTGTTTATAGAAAGTTCAAACCGTCAAGGAAAGTTCGATCAAGTGGTGCTGAGAGAGGGAATCGGTTCCATTACTTTGATTGAGGATGCAGATGAGGACGTCGCTCGGCAGCTCGCATGTCGTCGTCCAGTCACGTTCAAGAACTATGGGGAGACTCACCAGGTCACGTTTTGCAGAATCTCGTCGTCCGCAGTTTGCGTCCGTCTCGATATGTCGCACGCCCTGGTCGATGGGCTGTCTGCTCAGGTACTAATGCGGGACCTGTCCCAAATTTACAGCAACAAGAAACTAGCCACCCGCGTCATGGCATATCGCGACTTTGTTGATTATCAAGCACGCCTGAACATGGACAATTCGGCGGCTTACTGGTCGAATTACCTTTCTGGAGCTCAGCCATCTCACTTTCCCTTATACGGCGACAACATGAGCCGCCGAGATCTTCGGACCGTCAGGGCGGATATTATTCTGGGTTCGGAGGAGCTTGGAGAATTCTGTGGTAAGTTTAACGTTACGCCAGCTAACATTTGCCAGGTAGCCTGGGCGCTCGTGCTCAGGTCCTATACCGGGTTGGAAGATATTTGTTTCTCGTATGCAACGTCTGGTCGAGATCTGCCTCTCAATGGAATCAACAACACAGTCGGAGCATTCCTCAATGCTGTCGTCTGCAGGGTCAAGGTGCCACCAACAACAACTGTCCCAGAAGCCTTGCTACGAGCCAAGACCGACTTTGTGGAAAGCCTGGCCCACCAATACTACTCGGCTGTGGACGATGCACAGTCCGGAGAATTTGCCCGTTTCAAGACCAACACATTGATGTCATGCCAAAGAAAAGCAGCATCTGAACTGGCGGGATCTGGTCTTGCTGTAGAGTTGGTTGACGCCGCCAATCCAAACGAAGTAAGTTTTGGCCATGGCCATGTTCGAGTGATTTACGCTAACCACAGTACAAAGTACGATATGTCAATCAACATTCAGATTGGCTCCGACGGCCTAGAGGTGATGATCGACTACTGGCATTCGCGAATCGGACAACGCACGGTAGAAAGCGTCGCGCAGTCTTTCCGACAAGCATTCCTCAACCTTGTTCAGCAAAAGGATGCCGCATTGGGAGAGATCGATATCATCACCCCTTGGGAGATTGATCAGCTTCGTCAATGGACCAAAGACATCCCTCCGAAGGTTAATTACCGTATTCACGACAAAGTCTACGAGCAGCGACTCCGCCAACCTGATGCCTGGGCTGTACAGGGCTGGGACGGGGACTTGACATACCAGCAGCTAGATGATACAGCCAATAAGCTAGCCCTTTACCTTGCTAGTTTGGGTGTACAACCGGAAACAAAGATTCCGATTTGCTTTGACAAATCAAAATGGGCAGTGATATCACAGCTAGCAATTCTCAAGGCGGGAGGCTGTGTTGTTCCCCTAGGGACTAAGCAACCGGCATCAAGGACAAACCTCATCCTAAAGGACTTACAAGCAACCATCGTCCTAACGACCGACAAGTACGCCTCTCGCTTTACCGAGCTTGTGAGCCACACTGTGCTCATTGATGAACCGTTCGTAGCTGGCTTGGCGCCCGCTGAGATGGTTCCTTGCTCCGCGACAGTCGACAACTCCGCCTTCATCATCTACACCAGCGGCTCAACCGGCGTCCCGAAGGGTGTCGTGCTCCCACATGCAAGCCTTTGCACTAGTCTCGAGCATATGGGTACTAGATTCAAGCTCGGCCCAGAAACCCGCACGGTTCAATTCTCCGCATACACTTTCGACATCTCTATCCAAGATATCTACACTACATGGCACTACGGCGGCTGTCTCATCATCATTTCGGAGGAAGATCGCATTAGCAATCTCGCATCTGCCATGGTCAAATATCGAGTCAACTGCGCTGGGCTTACCTCAACCGTGGCCGGGATGATATTCCCGCAAGACGTGCCAACGCTGCGGACGCTGGTCCTGCTCGGCGAGGCCGTGAAACCCGCAGTGGTCGAGCAATGGATCGATCACGTCGTTGTCTTCAACGCTTACGGACCTTCGGAATGCTCGATGCAAGCTAGTATAAATCAACTCACCCCTGGCTGCAATGCCCTGAACATAGGTTGGCCCTTCGCAGGCGCGCTTTGGGTCGTCGATCCAAACGACTACAACCGCCTTGTCCCAATTGGAGCTCCCGGAGAATTGCTTATCGAGGGCCCAATCCAAGCGCGTGAGTATCTCAACAATCCTGCGAAAACCGCAGAAGCTTTCGTATCCAACGCAGCATGGATGATCAAGAACGGATTTGGGTCCGGTAGGCGTCTCTACCGGACTGGAGATCTCGTCCAGCAGAATCCGGATGCGTCTATCACATATATTGGACGTCGCGACACACAGATCAAGGTGCGAGGCCAACGCGTTGAGGTTGGTGAGATTGAGCATCATCTGCTGCAACTGGATGGGGTCCTCGACGCCGCTATCATTTACCCTAAACATGGCCCTTGCCAAGAGCGCTTGGTCGGCCTTCTCACATTGCGCGACTTCTTTGCTGGAAAGAATGCAGGGCAAGAGGTGGTCCCAGTGCCTACGGAAAAGCTTCCTTGCACAAAAGGCCAAATGGCTGCTGCTGCCGAGCAGCTTTCCGAACACGTCCCAGAACACATGGTCCCAAAAATCTGGATTCCTTTGGAAAGCATGATGCCGCAGAACGACTCTTCAAAGTTAGACAGGAAGAAGCTAGGTTTATGGCTCGAGGCCCTTGACCCTTCCTTCCTAGAAACCCTTAGCAATCCATCTGATGCTGGAGCTGAAGGCCGAGAGCCGGAGACCGTTCTGGAGCGTCATGTCCACAACGCGTGGGCCGATGTTTTGCGTTTACCCGCCAGTCAAATTCCCATCGAGCATAAATCATTCCTTAGCGTAGGAGGAGATTCGATTACTGCTATGCATGTCGTTTCATGGTTACGGATGCGCGGAGTATCGGTCGCGGTGCGAGATGTGCTTGAGAGCAAGTCCGTGGCTCAGCTTGCGCAAGTTGCTAAAATGAAGGATGGAAACTCAGAGGCTGCGGACGAGTCATTCCCTCTATCACCGATGCAACAGTGGTACTTTGAGTCAATTGCCGCCACTGAATCGCCTCTCGAGTCTCGTGGTCCCGATCTATACAATTCCAGTGTCTGCTTGGTGCCTCGGCAGCCACTTGAATTCTCCAATCTTGCCCAAGCCATCAGCGCTCTCGTCTCCAGGCATCCCGTCTTGCGATCTAGATTCCAGCCCGGCAGTGCTGGCAGCTTGCGGCAAACGATCCTCGACGACTCCCCGCAATCCTATATCCTGAAGAATCACACCGTGCCCACGCAGGGAGACGCAGAAGCCATCATAGCCGAGGCTCATGGCAACTTGGATCTCGAAAAAGGTCCCGTGTTCTCTGTTCATTACATTGCCGTGGAAGAGGCTTCAAAGACATCGCTTGTTTTCATGACAGCCCATCGTCTGGTTGTCGATAATGCCTCTTGGAGGATCATTCGCCGGGACTTGAGCACCATACTACAAGGACAACAAGTACCCACATCGACTTCCTTGCCTTTCCAGACCTGGGTCAAGCTGCAGGCTGAAAAGAGTGAAAAGTCTGCGCTTCTGTACGATCTGCCAACGGCTGACCTCGAGTACTGGGGCTTGAAGGGTGGCAACACCCACCAAGATGAAGCTATTGAAAATGTGGTTTTCAAGGCTCACGACATCAAGGCTCTGTTTGACGGCGCCAACAGAGCTTTCCGCACCGAGCGCGTTGAAGTCCTTCTCGCTGCGCTGTTCAAGTCATTCCGTGAGACTTTCCCCGATCGACAAGTTCCAGCCATCTTTGACGTGCACCATGGTCGGGATAGTGATGAAGATGACTTTGATGTCTCTAGGACGGTTGGGTGTTTGGAAAGCATGACTCCGGTGCACATCCCCCCGGATGAGTCAAATCAGTTATTGGACATTGTCAAGCGAACCAAGGATGCAAGACGCAGCGCAATTAAAAAACGGCCAGAGATCTTCCGCCATCACCAGGTTGAAGTGCTGTTCCGCTACTGTGAAACGTCAGCTGCAGACGACATCTTCGAAAGAAAGCAGGCCAGCGGAGTTGAGACATCTCCAGTCGGCGAAAAGGTCCCCCGTGGGTGCGTCTTCAATATTGATGTTCTCGCTTTGCAGGACGAAGTGCGTATCAATTTCAAGTTTAATCGACACATGAAGAACCAGCAGAAGGTTCGCCAGTGGACGAACTCGTATCTCAACAGCATCAGCGCGATGATATCTGAGCTATCGACCGCAGCACCTGCCTTCACTGTGACCGACTTTCCGCTGCTCCAACTGACTTCAGAGACCGTGAAGGCTCTCCAGGATCATGTTCTGCCCGAGGCGGGAGTCAAACCAGAGATGGTCGAAGACATTTACCCTTGTTCTCCCATCCAGCAAGGGATCCTGATGAGTCAAGTGAAATCTCCCTCCGAGTACTATATCCAGCAGTCCTTCGAGATACAACCAACAGCGTCTGATGCTCCAGTCAACGTTGCCCGTCTCCTTGCTGCCTGGCAAGTGTTGATGAGCCGCCACCCTATGCTCCGCACACGATTTGTTCGGTCGGTGTCTGGCTCCAGCGAACGTATGTTTAATCAGGTTGTCCTTAAGTCTTGCAAAGCGCACGTGGAGCGCAAGGAATGTAGCGACGAGGACCTTACTGCTGCTCTAGCTGTCAAAGTTGATTTAGATGACCGCCATGTTGACAAGCACATTGGCCATAAGCTGACTGTCTACTCCACACCCTCAAATCGTGTTTTCGGGAACGTTATTATCAGCCACGCGCTGGTTGATGCTTCTTCACTTATGATCATTCAAACTGAGCTTGCTCAAGCCTATGATGGAAAACTCACACCCGACATCCCGGGTCCGACGTACCGTGGCTATGTTTCATATCTACAGAAGACTCCGGCGGACCAGGCGTTGCAGCACTGGACCAAGCGCCTCGCTGACGCTGAACCATGTTACCTACCAGCTCTGACCGTGGACGGAACGCAGCCGGCCCCTGCCAAAGACACCGCACACCGCGAGCCCTTGCAAACCGTATCTGTCGATATCGACTGCGTGGACAAGCTACATAGCTTTACTGAGACTCATGGCGTTACCGTCGCGAACGTCTTTCAACTCGTCTGGGCAATGGTTCTTGCACAGTACACTGGCTCCCCCAACGTGTCCTTCGGTTACTTATCCAGTGGCCGAGACGTTCCAGTCAAGGATGTTGAGCAGTTGGTTGGACCACTCATTAACATGATGGTGACCCATATCAAGCTCAACCACCAGGCCAGAGTTCAGAGCACCCTCAAACAGATTCAAGATGACTTCTTCGAAAGCTTCAACTACCAGCGAGCCCCCTTGATTGATATCTGGCACTCCCTACAACTCCAGGGCCAGAGCTTGTTCAACACCGCGCTCTCTTATCGCCACGTCGTGTCCGCAGAGAGAGACCAGCTCAGCATCGCCCTGGAACAAGTTACTGGCGAAGACCCAACTGAGTACGATGCTACGGTGAGTGTGTTTGCATCGCCGGATAAAATCTCCGCTGCCCTGCAGTACTCACCTGCTTTCCTCTCGCACGAAAGCGCAAGCCGGCTGCTAGGCTGTGTCCAGCGAGGCATTCGATCTTTGGTTGCGAATGGAGACGCTCGAGTTGGGGACTTGGAAACTCTCACGCAGAAAGACCTCGAACAAGTCCGCGTATGGAATGATGAGATTCCTGCCGTTGGTGGAGATCGCCTCATACACGAGTTGTTCGCTGAACAGCGGGTTATTCGACCCGATGCAACAGCTGTCTGTGCTTGGGATGGCAACTTGACATATCAGGAACTTGATGACCTGTCGAACACACTATCTCACCATCTGGTACATGACTTGGGAGTAGGCCCTGAGGTATTCGTGGCGCTTTGCTTAGATAAATCCAGGTGGGCAGTCGTTGCGCAGCTCAGTGTCCTGAAGGGGGGCGGTTGCGTAGTCTCCATCAACCCCAAGCATCCCACGCAGCGACTGGAGCTTATCCTCAAGGACATCAACGCCCCAGTGCTGCTGACTTCCCAGCAATACTCTTCCCGGTTCACGAACCTGGTTCCACACGTCTTGAGCATGAACGACTTCTTGTTCTCTACTATCCCCAGACAGTCTCAGCCACCAAGGACCAACGTGGCTCCCGAGAATGCCGCCTTTATTATTTACACCAGTGGTAGTACCGGTATGCCAAAGGGTGTGATTTTGACTCATCTCTCCCTGTGTTTCAGTTTCCGTGCACATGGTAAGGTTTACGAAATGTCCCCCGCCACCCGATCGCTCCAATTCGCCGCGTACACCTTCGACGCTAGCATTAGCGACATCTGGGGAACCATGTCTCATGGAGGATGCGTCTGCGTTATATCAGAAGAAGAACGCATGAACAACCTCCAAAGTGTTATTGAGGCCTACGGAGCGACCCACGCCCAGGTTACACCAACCGTAGCTGGCTTACTTGATATCGCCAATATGAAGTCTCTCACTACACTTGTTCTCGGTGGTGAAGCCGTCAGGGAAGCCATGATTGAAGAATACGCCAAGGCAGCAGGAAGGGTAAAGGTCTTGAACGGATATGGCCCATCGGAGGCTAGTATCTACACTACCTGTAGTACCCCACTAGTCGACAAGAAGCAGGCCCTCAACATCGGTCGCCCGCTGGTGGGGAGTGTCTGGGTGGTTGCCAATGGCGAGACCATATGCCCCGTGGGTGCTGTTGGTGAGCTCTGGATTGAAGGTCCACTCTTGGCTCGTGGCTACCACAATGACCAGAAGAAGACGGACGCAAGCTTTGTGACGAACCCCAAGTGGGCCAGCGCTGTCGGACTTCAAGGTCATCGCTTCTACAACACTGGTGACCTCGTCCGCCAGTCTTCCAACGGTGATCTGATCTATCAAGCGCGGAAAGACTCGCAAGTCAAGATCCGCGGCCAGCGTGTCGAAGTCGGCGAGATCGAGTACCGCGTCAAGAAGCTCTTGCCAGCTGCGAAGAGCCTCGTGGCTAGTCTGATTACGCCGGGCGGCAATTCTTCCAACATCATGATTGCCGTGACGATGGAGCTAGATGACCAGCTTCAACGCCATCTCCTCTCTGACCCCATTCAGGGCATATTCCTTCCAAACGCACCCCACCTCCGCGATACGTTCAGTCGACTTCATGCCTCTCTTTCCGAAGTCCTGCCGTCATATATGCTGCCCCGTCTATTTATTCCCGTGGTGCAGCTCCCTCAAACAGCATCGAGTAAACTCGACCGTCGCGCAATCAAGCAGATGCTCGAGAACCTGCCAGAAGATGTCCTTTTCCAATACTCCCTATCAACTAATTCAAGCGTTGCGCCCACCACTGAGATGGAGAAGAAATTGCAGGCACTTTGGGCCGCTGTCCTGAATGCTGACCTTGGCCGTGTCGGCATCTACGACCACTTCCTCCACTCCGGAGGTGACTCCTTTACTGCGATGAAGCTTGTCTCAGCAGCCAACGCCGTCAATATCCCCATTACCGTTGCCGATGTCTTCCGCTACCCGAAGCTGCAGGACATGGCTGCGCACCTTGAGACGCAGATTTCACAACATGAAACCTTCCAGGATATCCCCCGCTTCGCATTATGGAAAGAAGCGCAGACCACAGATCACTCGGCTAATGAAGAGGAAATTTTGCGTGTTGCGAAACTTTGCGGCGCTTCTATCGAAGACATTGAAGATGTGTATCCAGCCACGCCGCTTCAGGAAGGCCTAATGGCCATCACCACCCAGCAACCTGGATCCTATATCGGGCGCTGGGTATTCCGAATTCAAGATACCACCGACACCGACACGTTCAAGAAAGCATGGACAACCCTGGCTCAAAAGGCACCCATTTTACGCACACGCATTGTGCCTGGTCGGGAATCTGGCGGATTGCAAGTTGTTATTCGAGAGTGCGTCAGCTGTGAGGAAGCCACAAATCTGGAGCAGTATTTGGACGGAGACCTCCACCTATCCTTTAGCTATGGGCAGCCTCTGGTGCGACAGGCAATCATCGACGAAAGAGACAAGCGGTACTTTGCCCTGAGTGCCCATCACAGCGTTTACGATGGCTACAGCTTAGGCAAGCTATTCGATGCAGTGGCACTTCTGTATGATGGGAAAGATCTTGATTCCACTCCTTCATTCTCCCGTTTCATTTCTTATCTCGGTCAACAGGATCAAGATGCGGCCAAGTCTTTCTGGCAGTCCCAGATCAAGGGCGAAGTTGGCGCGCCTTTCCCCTCACTCCATCGACCGTCTTACAGACCGCAGCCAACGCAGAAGCTAAGCTCAAGTGTGGACATTATGTCTCTCGGAGGGTCGAACACACTCGCTTCTACGCTCAGGGCAGCATGGGCTCTGGCGGTATCAGCTTACGGTGGCAATGATGTGCTATTTGGCGTGGCGCTCAGCGGAAGAGCTGCCCCAGTCCCAGGCATTCTCGACATACCAGCCCCAATTATCACGACTGTGCCTGTGCATGTTCACATCAATCCTGAGCAGACGATCGCTGAGTACCTAGCCGCGGTCCACCAGCAGAGCGTTGACATGATACCGTTCGAGCACACGGGCCTGCAAAACATACGCCGCTTTGTAGGGCACGAGATTGACCTCCCCCATCTTTTTGCTGTTCAGCCAGCTCGCGAGCGTGAGAACTCCGTCCATGGTAAGCTTCTGTCATACGAGCATGGCCATGTCCCGGAGCTCAACCTTGACGGGTATGCCCTTACCGTCGAATGCATTACAAGCGACACCCTCGGTGGCTCCGTAACAATCGAAGCACACTTCGATGAGGAAATGATTTCTACCACTCAGACCAAGAACCTGTTGAGTCGATTCCGCCACATTGTTGCGCAGCTTGGTGCGGTCGGCCAAGGCCACACTCAGCGGCGACTCGAGGAGCTTGACCTGCTAAGCGAACACGAGTTCACCCAACTATTCGAATTCAACCGCGGAATTCCTGCTGTGAAGCAAGCCTTGGTTCACGAATTGGTCTCTCAACATGTTCCCACAGAACCTGATGTCCCTGCCGTTTGTGCCTGGGATGGTAACCTGTCGCGTGGAGAGTTGGACTACCTGGCTAACAAGTTAGCTCTACATCTCACGACGCTTGGAGTTAAGCCTGAGTCCATGGTCGCCCTCTGTTTGGACAAATCCAAGTGGGCCTTGGTCGCAAACCTTGCAGTTCTGAAAGCTGGTGCTGCGGTCGTTCCGATCAGAGCAAACCCCATCCAGCGTGTACACGCCATTTTGCAGGAGACGGGTATCACCACAATCCTCACGTCTCAGTGCTCAGTCTCAGCGCTTGAAGGACTGGTGCCCAACTTGCTAGCGATGGGTGATGAGCTACTACAGTCACTTGCGGCCCCCACCATTCAACCTATATCCACTGTCACCCCTTCGAATGCTGCCTTCGTTATCTTCACATCTGGATCAACCGGTAAACCCAAGGGCGTTGTCGTCGAGCACGGCGCAATGTCAACCAGTATGCAAGCCCATGGAAAGCTGTTTGGCATGACTCCGAAGACGCGAGCCTTCAACTTCGCCCACTTCACCTTTGATATCTCCCTTCACGACATCATTTCCACGTTGCAGTTTGGTGGTTGCGTCTGTCTTCCCTCTGAACAAGAGCGAGTAGACGACATGGCGGGCGCGATGCGCAGAATGGGCGTCAATTACTCGTTCCTCCCTCCTCGTGTTATTCATACCATCAAGCCGTCGGACGTCCCAGACCTCAAGACCTTGGTGGTTGGTGGAGAGGCAGTACAGGCAGAACACTTGGAGCCTTGGCTCGATGGCGTCCGGGTTTTCAATGCGTACGGTCCCACAGAGGCGTCTATTGCAGCGACGGCAAATGAGGTTTCGGATCGCAGCCAGGTTTACAATATTGGTGGCGCCATAGCAGGTGCTCTGTGGGTCGTGGATGAGAACGACTACAACAGACTGCTTCCTCTTGGAGCTGTGGGTGAGCTTCTGATTGAAGGTCCTCTACTTGCTCGTGGTTATCTCAACGACCCAGTCAAGACGGCAGATGCCTTCATCATGAACCCTGCGTGGACCTCCCAGTACTCCATGCACGGAACCGCCGGAGAACAACCCACCGAACGTCGCATGTACCGTACCGGTGACCTGGTGCGCCAGATGGAAGACGGATCCCTCACGTACGTCGGACGAAGCGATGGTCAAGTTAAAATTCGCGGACAACGAGTCGAGATTGGTGAAATTGAACACCACGTTAGCGAACATCCGACCGTGGTCGAAAACGTAATGGTCTACCCCCGCCGCGGCCCAGCACAGTCGCAGCTCGTTGGAATTGTTACCCTGCACGGCTTCATTTCCCCTGTCTCTGCAGACGACATACAGACAACCCCGCTGGATCAACTTCCTCATGCTCTGGAGCAAACTTCATCGGTCCGCCAGCACCTGCACTCATGCGTTCCAGATTACATGATCCCTAACTACTGGGTCTCGCTCACCTCCATGCCGCACAACACCTCCGACAAGATTGATCGCCGTTGTCTCACTCAATGGCTAGAGACCATGGATGTTGGCTGCTTTGAAGCGATCACTCAGAGCCGAACGGAAGACAGCACAACTCCGACTACGCCCGAAGAGCAAAGTATTCAAACAGTTTGGGCCGACGTGCTTCATGTACCAGTCGGAAAGATGTCGTTGAACCGTCCATTCTTGAGCGTGGGTGGCGACTCTGTTACTGCCATGCAAGTTGTCTCAAAATGCCGCTTCCAGTACGCTATCTATGTTAGCGTTCGTGATGTGCTGCAATGTGACTCGATCACCCAACTGGCGAAGAAGGCCGTGGTTAAGAGCACATCTCCGACTACAGATACACAACCCTCCACATCCTCGGTCGCCCAAGCTCCACTCACCACTACGGTATCAACGGTCTTTGATATTGACTCCCACGACTTGACCAAGCTTGAGGTGGAAGTCCTGCCGGCTGTTGGTGTTGACGGTTTGTCTCGGATTGAAGGCATCTACCACTGCTCTCCTATCCAGCAAGGTATCTTGATGAGCCAGATCAAGGATGCCACAACCTATCAAGTGCGTCAGGCAGGAGAGATTCGAGGTGTTGACTCTTCTGTAGTCGACTTAAACCGACTTCTCCGCGCCTGGCAATCCGTTGTCCAGCGTCACGCTATTTTACGCACGTTCTTTGTCCCTAGCCCGTCGGGACAAGAGCTGTTCTACCAGGTTGTTCTCAAAAACTACACTCCCACAACTCCAGTCCTCCGGTTACGCAGTGTCGATGATTTCCTCGTCCATACCGAAAACTCTGAGCGTCCGTTATACAGGCCCGGCCAGCCGCCGTACCAGCTTACCCTGGCTCAGGCGTCTACGGGACATGTTTACGCGCAGGTTGATGTCAACCACGTTCTCATGGACGCCTCGTCTATGGATCTCATCCTGAGCGACCTCATGCTAGCCTACGATAATGCCCTTCCAAGCTCGCCCGCTCCTTCCTACGGCACCTATGTCTCGTTCCTTCAGCAGTCTTCTGCATCGGAATCCCTAAGCTACTGGAAGAACCGCCTTTCCGGTGCAGAGCCATCGCATCTTCCCCCTTCAACTGAGCTCGATTCCGGAAAACGCTCTTTGAAGAGCGTATCCGTGGAAGTGGACAACATCAGACCACTACAAGAGTTCCGAGACGCGCATGGGGTTACGATTGCCAACATTGCGCAGTTAGCCTGGGCTCTCGTTCTGTCCCGGTATCTTGGTTCTCGCGATGTCACCTTTGGATATCTGTCCAACGGTAGGGATGCCCCCATCGCGGGGATTGAGGAGATGGTCGGCCCGTTGATCAACTTGATGGTAACTCGAGTGCAGCTCGCCACATCGGGAGCCACCGTCGCCGAGGCCGCGAAGCAGGTACAAGACAACTTCTTCGATGCCTTCAGCCACCAGCGAGCCTCACTTGGCGACATCCAGCACGCCCTCAAGGTTTCCGACCGCGGCCTCTTCAACACAACTATGATTTATAAGCCTAAGGCTATAACGAGTGCCCAAGACAGTCGCAGTCTCACGATCGAGAGCCTCGCTGGAGAAGACCCCACTGAGTACGATGTCCAAATCAAGATCGTTCCTGATGAAAATGGCCTGTCGGTAGACCTTGAATATGCCACCACTTTCCTGAACAAGGAGTCGGCTCAACGTCTACTGGGCAGCATGCAATGCGCTTTGTCTTCCATTGCTGCCAATCCCAACGCAAGCATTGATCAGCTCGACGTAATACCCTCCACTGACGTTGAGCTGCTGCGCCGATGGAATTTCACGGTGCCACACACCGTTCCTGGTACCATCCATGACAAGATCCATGAACGAGCTGCCTCCCAGCGTGGCGCTCAAGCAGTTTGCGGCTGGGATGGGAACTTGACGTACGCTGAGATTACGGATATGTCAGACCGGCTTGCCCATCACTTAAGAAGCTTAGGGGTTCGCGAAGAAGTCATGGTTGGACTTTGCTTCGACAAATCCTTGTGGACGGTGGTTTCCATGCTTGCGACTCTCAAGGCCGGTGGTGTTATTGTTCCTCTGGGTGTTCAGTTACCCGTCCAGCGTCTGCAACATATTTTGAATGAAACCGCTACCCCGGTTGTTTTGACCATTCAGAAACACATCTCGAAATTCCAAGGTATCACCTCAGCCAACATCCTCACCGTCGACGCTGCATTTATAGCGTCGCTGCCCCGACCAGCGTCTCCACTCAACACCTGGGGCGTGACTTCTGAAAGTGCCGCCGTCGTGATATACACCTCAGGATCAACCGGTACACCGAAGGGCGTGGTCCTCACACACGGAACTATATGCACCAGTATCGAGAGCCACGGCGCAAAGCTGCAAATGGGTCCTCAAACTAGGACATTACAATACTCCGCGTACGTATTTGACCTCAGCATTCTCGAAATCCTGTCCACCCTTCGTTTCGGCGGTTGCGTCTGTGTCGTTTCCGAGGAAGACCGCGTCGATATCAACAGTCTTACTACGAACATGGAGGCTATCGGCGTTAACATGGCTGTCCTCACGCCTACCGTCGCAGGGCTCATCGATCCTCGCACCGTTCCGACCCTGTCAACGCTAGTCCTAGCTGGAGAAGCCGTTCCTCCAAGTGCTGCTGAGACCTGGGCAAAGCATGTTTTCCTTTACAACGGGTACGGACCGGCGGAATCCACGATCCTTGCTACAGCAAATGGTCCGATTGTCCACAAAGAGCGAGCTCCTAGTGTCGGCCATGCCCTGGCTGGCGCTATCTGGGTGGTTGACACAGAGGATTACAACCGCCTCGCGCCGGTTGGTGTGGTTGGTGAGCTTTTGCTGTCGGGCCCGTTGATTGCTCGTGGCTACCTGAGCGACCCCGAGCGCACGGCGCAGTCCTTCATCACCGATCCTTCATTTATCTACAAGCATGGCTTCAACGTATGGGCTGGCCAGCGCATGTACAAGACTGGCGATCTGGTTCGTCAAGATCCGACCGATGGCTCGATTACATTCGTTGGCAGAGCAGATGGTCAAATCAAGGTGCGTGGTCAGCGTGTTGAGGTTGGCGAGATCGAGTACTGGATTCGCCAGAAGTTCAACGCCCAGACTGTTGCGGCGGATCTCATCGGCGCGAATTCGGGCGACCCTTCTGTGGTAGCAGCCATAGAACTTGACAAGAATGCTTCCAGCAACGAGACTGCTATCTTAGACTCGACGGGGCCCCTCAAAGACTCGTTCTTCCAGCTACAGGCAGCTCTTGCCAAAGCTCTCCCATCATACATGGTGCCTTCAAAGTACATTCCTGTCAAGAACATGCCACTTACTGCCTCTGGTAAGCTTGATAGAAGGTCACTCCGAGCATTGCTAGAGGGTCTTACGGAAGTTCAGCTTGCGGAGTACAGTCTAGATGAAGGTGACCATGTTCCGCTGTCCACTGATAAGGAACGACGCTTGGCTAGCCTGTGGACTGAAACTCTTAACGCCTCCAAGGAGGTTGGTGCCAATACCCATTTCTTCCGTTTCGGCGGCGACTCTGTCACTGCTATGCGACTGGTTGCTCTTGCGCGTGCTGCAGAGCCTCCCATCCTTCTATCTGTGGGCGATATATTCAAGCATCCAGTTCTGGCAGATATGGCGCATGCTATTGAGGGCCTCAACTCAGCCGGTACTGTTGAGGCTGAGGCTGATGTGACACCTTTCTCCTTCTTGTCCGAGGTGAACATCAATAAGCAGGCGTATCTGCCACGGATCGCATCGCAATGTAAGGTTGAGTCCGACGACATCGAAGACGTTTACCCCTGTACCCCTCTGCAAGAAGGCCTCATGGCCATCACAGCCCAACAGCCTCACGCGTATATCAGCCGCTGGGTCTTCCGTCTGGATGACGGTATTGACCTGTCACGGTTCCGCGACGCGTGGGCATCACTAGTTGATCTTGCTCCCATCCTTCGCACTCGCATTGTTCAAGATTCTAGGAATGGCGGGATGCAAGTTGTCGTCCGGGACAATATAGCTTGGAACGACGTCGAATCCGAGCTTCAGGCTTATATTGCGGATGACACCGCTTGGACAATGGGTTTCGGTAATGCATTGATGAGATTCGCAATTGTCACCAGCGGATCAGCGCGCTTCTTCGTTTGGACGGCTCACCACAGTACGTACGATGGATGGACTGCAAGAAAGCTGATGGAGGCTGCCTTCGCAATTTATTCCGGCAACTCTGCCCCGCCCTTCCTTCCGTTCACACGCTTCGTTCAATACCTAGAATCCAGCTCTATCGACGATACCCGCGACTACTGGCAATCTCAGCTTGAAGGTGGAATGGGCCCTAGCTTCCCTGAGGTCCCAAAGAACTACTCTCCTGGCCAGGTCGAAACTCAGACCTGTCGCATTGCCGCCGGCAATACCAACGAATTCACCATCTCCACGCTGCTCCGGGCGACATGGGCTCTTATCCTCTTCCAGGAAACCTCAAGCCAAACCGTGGGTTTCCCGACAGCGCTTTCTGGTCGTACGGCTCCAGTCTCTGGTATTCTAGATGTGATGGGCCCTACGATCACGACTGTTCCTGTTCGCGTTTCTGTAGACCCAGCCCAGAACCTTTCGGCGTACCTTGCTTCCATCCAACAGCAAGCCACGGACATGCTGCCATTCGAACATACCGGTCTTCACAACATTAGCAAGATGGCATCCGTGCCTCTCAACTTCCAGCACCTTTTTGTCGTTCAGCCGGCAGTCGATCGCCTTGACCAGAGCAACTCCGGTTTCCAAGGGGTTACCCCGGTGCCTTTTGAGACATCAGGCTTCCACAACTACCCTCTTGTTGTCGAATGCAGCACTAGCACGAACAACACTGACAGATCCGTCGACGTGCAACTCCAGTTCGACCCAGCTGTTCTCTCTGCTGAGAAAGTGACGACCATTGTTGAACGCTTCACTCATGTCTTCCGACAACTACAAGCTGTTGCTAGTGGAGCCATAACTCAGGGTACTGTAAGCGACGTCAGCTTCATGACTCCAGAAGACCTCGGTCGGATCCAAGAATGGAACCAGTTTGATGACAGAATGGCCATGGCTGATTCATGCATTCATGAACTCGTTAAACAACAACTCCTGTCTCGTCCCGACGCCCAAGCGGTCCATTCCTTTGACGGTCACCTAACCTACCAGGAATTGCACAATCTCGCTGCTCGACTTGCGTCCCATCTCGTCGACATAGGTGTTGGTCCTGAGATCATGGTTGCTACCATCTTTGAAAAGACCAAATGGGCGGTTGTCACCTACCTCGCTGTCCTCATGGCGGGAGGTACAATTGTTCCCATCAATCACCAACATCCTCGACAACGCATGCAAGCATTGGTTCAAAACATCGGCACTAAGGTTATCTTGACATCGCAGAACCCCGAACGTCTTGAAGGTGTTGTTTCTGGGCCTGTCCTAAAGGTGGACGAGGACCTTCTTGCTCACATCCCAGCCGCCGACAACACCTGTCCGACCGTGCAACCTACCGATCCTGCATTCATTATCTTCACCTCCGGATCCACGGGTACCAGCAAAGCCGTCGTTCTGCAACATGGTGCCATTGTCTCGAGTATGGTCAAAGGCCACGGCTCGTTCTACGCGACCCCCGAAACACGAGCTCTCCAGTTCTCCGCCTTCAACTTCGACATCAGTATCGCTGAGGTATTCACGACCCTCTCGTTCGGCGGCTGTGTGTGCGTCATCTCAGAAGATGACCGTGTCAGTCGTCTCGGCCAGGCAATGGAGGAAGCTGCTGTCAACTTCGCCATCCTCACCCCTACCATTGCTAGCCTCCTCAAGCCCGAGCATGTCCCGAGTCTCAAGAAGATGCTGCTCGTCGGTGAAGCCCTTCGTCCCGAGGTCGCTGCGCCGTGGGTCCCATCTCACGTTGAACTGTTCAACGCGTACGGTCCGGCCGAATCCTCAATATTGACCACTTACAGTCGCCGCATCACGGATATTGCGCAAGCACCAAACCTTGGTTTCCCCTTGGCGCATAGCAACCTATTTGTTGTTGACCCGTTCAACTACCACAACCTTCTTCCTGTTGGCACGGTTGGTGAATTGCTCATTGAAGGACCCCTGCTTGCGCGTGAATATTTAGGAGAGAAAAAGAAGACAGCTGAAGCGTTTGTGACCGATCCAGCCTGGCTGCAGCAATTCGACCTTGGTCCTGTCTCGGGACGAAGGCTCTATAGGACTGGAGATCTGGTGCAGCAGAAACTGGATGGTTCGTTTGTTTACCTGGGTAGACGCGATACCCAGGTCAAGATTTATGGTCAGCGTGTCGAAATTGGGGAGATCGAGTATTGGGTCAAGAGTAACCTGGCCGGTGTTGGTGAGGTTGCGGCAGGATTGTTCAAACCTAGCGATTCCGAGGGCGAGCCTCTTCTCGCTGTTGCAATGGAGGTCCCGTCCAGCTCTAGTGCATCTGGTCTGCTCCCTGTGTCCGACGACCTGCGCGAAGCATTCAGTAATCTCCGCCATGATCTTCTGCAGGTTCTACCTTCGTACATGGTCCCTCAACTATACCTACCGTTCGCCAGACTGCCACTTACGGACTCTGGAAAGCTGAACCGACGCGCAACCTGGGATGCCGTTCATACTTGCGACTCGGTGTCTCAGTACTTCCTTGTGGACGATGTCAAGGTGGCGCCCTCTACTGACACCGAACGCCTACTCCAGGGTCTATGGGCCATGGCAATCAAGATTCCCGCCTCTTCCATCGGTGCAAAGGATGACTTCTTCCGCTCCGGTGGTGACTCGATCTCTGCCATGCGACTTGTGGCGAGTGCCCGCGAACACGCTCAGCTTTCTTTGATGGTCTCTGATATCTTCCGTCATTCAATCCTATCCGATATGGCGGTACTCGTCGATCAAACTCGTGCAGACACTCCGGCCGTGACGCCATACCAACCGTTTTCCACATTGCCCGCTGGTTCTAGCGTGCGAGACTCCGTCAAACCTCTTCTCTCCATAGCTGGAGAGATGGTCGATGTTACCCCCACCACAGACCTGCAATCTCTCGCAATCGCCACGTCGCTGCGGCCCTCGCGCGACCTTATGGCGTATGTTAGCATTGATGGGGATGGCGTTCCTGATGTCGCCCGTTGGGAAGCTAGTTGCCTGGAGCTGGTTGAACACCATGACATCCTGCGCACTGCCTATGTACCCTACGACGACCAGCTCCTTCAAGTCATTCTCAAGGAATATGCTCCCGGTGTCACTCACTACGAGACCGATCAGTCTTTGGAAAACTTTAGCAAGGAACTAATTGCGCAAGACATGCACCGAGCCCCTCGACTTGGCCACCCCTTCCTCGAGTTTGCTATCATAACCTCCCTCCACGATAACAAGCACCGTGTTATGTTCCGACTCAGCCACGCCGAGTACGATGCCATCTCGCTGTCGTACTTTGTGAACACCCTCCAGGAGATCTACAACCGCAAGACAGTCACGGAATATGTCAGCTTTCCTCGTTATATCTCCAACCTCTCCCACCAGAACACCAAGCCTAGTCGCGAGTACTGGCGGTCGCTTCTCAAGGGCTCATGCATGCCTGCAATCTCATCATCCTCCAAATCAAGGCGTCTCCCATCCCGTCAAATCTACCACGACGCTCGACGCGTCAGCCTAAAATCTCTTCCGACTGGAATCACACTGTCTACAATCGTGCGTTCCGCGTGGGCGCTGACTCTAGCCGAGCACGTAGGCAACCCGGACGTCCTCTTCGGCGAAGTCGTCTCCGGCCGCAACGGCGACCCCATCGCCGAGAAAGCAGCGGGGTGTTGCGCGAACACAGTTCCCGTGCGGACAGTCATCGATTCGTCCTGGAACGCGCGAGATCTTGTGGGATCCGTCCAGCAGCAACTAATCTCGCGTCTGCCTCACGAATTCCTTGGGTTCCGAGACATCATGCGCTCCTGCACTGATATGCCTGCGGGTACCGTCTTCAGCTCGCTCCTCAACCACCTTGACGGTGCTTCCGAATGGACGATGAATACTGACGACGGCAAATACAATGTCTCCGTCGCGAAAACCGAAGGCGCTGGTGACGTTTCCGATGTGTCGATTACCTCGACCGCCGGGGCGGGATACGTGGAGATCGCGATGGCGTATCTTGAGGATGGGATCACGGCTGCAATTGCCGATAATCTGCTGAGCCGTCTTTGTGATACAGTCCATGCGTTTGGCAATGGCGATCTGAGCGCGAAATTAGGCGCTATTCTCCCCGTCTCTGTCGATGTGCAAAAGGGGCTGCAGGAAGCCCCTGAAGGACCCGTGTTTGACGGTGACCTGGTTGATGCGAGTATGGTTGCGTTCGAACTCCAGAGGAGAGGTCATAAAGTGACCGTTGATGATGTTGTGAAGCAGGGCCTCGGAGCTCCAGCCGTTTGATTCCTGTTTTGTTATTTTGTTGTTTAGTCAGATAGATTGTTCAATCACATCATTGTATGTTTCCACCCACATTTTGGATCTGCGTAGAGATTGACGTCCTCTGTTGCACATCCGGGGCTCTCAAACCTGTCTATCATGTGTTGGCGTATCTGGGACGCTCACTCTTCTCCCATGCTATCTCCTATACCCCTGCCACCCTCCCGGGAGACCCTTACCCTATCCAGACTGTTAGATGAAATCTACCTGGGCGTGTTCCAGCGCTGCCTAACAAGCCTGTACCCATGTACGACGATTGCGTGTTCATGTTTGGCAAGAGCAGCTATATCTTGGCCTGCTGAAGTTTATTGAATAAATTATCCGCTACGGTAGTCTACATATGTATGATAGTGGGACAAGGAGACTGCTTCCAGTGCCCCTGGGTACAAGAACAAGGTAATATAAGACAGATAGGCCAAGCAAGTATGTTAGATGGCAGGTATTGAAATTGATAGACTTGCATTCTGAGAAGAGCTAGTAACGAAGAAGATATTAAACTAAATCAAAAAGAAACTCAGGCTCTACAGCTCATCGACGTCCATAGGCCATAGGGCGTCGATACCCAGCGCCCCGGGCATATCGGCGTGGATAGACTGCTCGGTGTGTCCGTACCCGAACCATGGATGGGCAAGGACTTCTCCAATACGCAATCTTTGATTCTTTCCATTTGCGATCCTATACCATGGCCAACTGCCAGTCAGGCAACAATTGCGCCACGAGCGCGAGCGTAGACAAGTATGTCAAGATGGCCAACCAACTGTATGAGACAACATACACCAGATCGGTTGGATGCAGGCCAGTGGCTGGCCCCCAGGTCTGAGCTACATCTGCTCTTCCCCCAAGCCCAAGGAGTAAGATAAGCTAACCCCAGCCATAGATCCTATGGCTCTACGAGGTGGAGAAGAACGAGGCCAAGAGGGACGCAATCGAGAAGCTATGCAGCGAAGCCGGCAGAAGAAAACGCTTCCCTCTGGTATGGATCCGAAAGGGCGACCATTCAGAGACGGTAGTCTGGGAAGTCTCGGAGGAGGGCACTCTCGTCAAGACGATCGAGAAGCGTGCATCGCATATCACCGCCTTGATGGGGAGGAGCGAAGAGTTCGAATACGCGGCACATATATTAGGTACGTGGAAGATGATCCGGATGACAGCGCCTGCACTATCCCACGTCGTCTGGCGGATCCGCTGCAGGGAGAATCCCATCGAGATAGGCAGTTTTTGATATTGAGCATTGGAGTTTTGGCTTGTTGTGTGTAATAGACTACAGACCTTCTTTCAGCGAGACTGGTAGTGTACAGAGACTTTTGGATAATGGTAATTGATACTGGGTGATGTCTTATACATGTAGACTATGCAGGTGGGATGTGGCCGGAGTTAGGGTTAACGCATTAACCGTACCCAATGGATTATTCACAAAGGGAGTCTAACCGCTCATAAATACATAAATCATACATCTCAAGCCGAGTATAAACCTCCAAGCCCCAACGACGCATTCAAAACCAATCACCAACGCTGTCCGGTCCAGGGCATCCAACAGGCGAACCACTTTGCATGAGGGACAATCAAAGGAAAGGTTCGCGGGGCAATGCGTAGCTCACCGTGGAAGAAGCAGTGGGATTCAGGCGCGGACTCTCCAGGACGGAAAACGTGTTCCTCAACGGCGAGGGTACGGCTTGCCCTGCAGTGTCTCTCTCGGCATCATGGCAGCCCGGCTGTGTGTCTCTTTCCGGCTTGGGGCATTTCGAATCAAGGTTGCGCGGGAGGAGACGCTGGGCGAGGGCCTTGTTGCGAAGTCTTCTCCGGTCCAGGTATGTAATCTGCTTGGGAGTGTTGGTGCCGTCGAAGTCGTAGTTGCGTTCGTGGGCTTTGCGCCAGCCGGAGCGGCACCTCGGGGTTCTCTGGATCATATACCAGATACAAGTGGCATTCGTAATCGAATTTCTCGCTGTGGCCCATGTACACGGTGATATGGGGATCATCCGGCTCTGCGACCTTTTCTATCTTCCCTGTGTCGGTGCATTTGATGGCGCGTAACGTGGTACTATGGTCACCCCATCTGGGGGTAGGGACTTGCAGTTAGCAAGCGATTCCGGGGTATGATGTGCCATGCTAGCCTTGGGGATTGTGGCCAGGAATAGCACATGTTATCGTTGGCCTTGGATGACTTACCGGATCCAAATCATGGAGGAGCCCTTTGCTCTGCATGCGTCACGGCATATCTTCTCAATGCCGGCGCAGCGCGCTTCTGAGTACCAGCTGTCAGGTATGAGCCACAGAATCTAGTTTAGTGTGTCCAGCGGGCCAGGTCAGTGGATGATTCACAGCGGAAGGGCAAGGCAGGAGAGGGCATGGCAGGGACACATACCTGTGGGTCATCCCACGCTCTTTTCCCAATCGACTTGTGGTACGGCCCCCTACAGAGATGTCTAACGGCGTTGACGTAGCCCTCCACCGTCTGAACCGGTTCCCATTTGGCTGCTTCAGGCTTGTTAGTCTTTGCTCTCGCCTCTGTAAACCGTGGAAGACCTCTCCGGGAGGCGGTGCTGTCTTGTTGCAGGACTTTACGCGCAGTAAGATGAAAATATAGGACTTACGAGCCATCTTGGATGGCCGAACAACGGTGTTCGATAGACTGTGTAACTGAGGAGGTGCTGGCATTTGGATATTGCTTTCTCCATCCTTCCTGCGGATCTCCACAAGTTATATAGAACATTTATTGCCAACCTCGCATGACTATGTGCTTTGTGCTTTGTCTCTGAGGTAGAACAAAGAGATCCTTTGCTCCCCCCGCCGTGGGAGCCTCTCAACAACATTAAACATAGGGTAAAGGTCGTCTACCTTCCTTTGTCAATCAGAAAGTTGAACTCTAACGTGCCATGAAGGTTATGATATGGCGCAGAGACAAAGCAATGTCCAACGTGGCAGCTGTTGTTAGGGCGAGGATTGAGATATCAAAGCCTATCAATCACGCAAGGATACCATACACTTCTTTCATGCTTCATAGTTTCAAGCTTCTTTGATGTCTCATAGTTGTAATGAAGGTCTCAATGAAGGCGTCAACGAGGAGAAAGGCGAATGCGATGTCTTGTGACCTTGTTCAAAGCATTATTGGCATGAAGCCCGTCCATGGTAGGCCGATTGGTTCTTTATCAGGGAATCTGTCATCTGATGCCAGTCTTTGTGGATCAAACTGGGTTCTTCACTGTTGGTTGTTTGGTAGAGAAACAAAGGGTTCCGCCCATCTTCACAGCAGCGTACACTATTTAGTTAACCATCTTGTTGCTTTCTCCTCCTCATCTTCACAGCACCGTACACTATTTAGTCATCCTCTTTTGTCTCGTGTCTCCCTTCTGTCTTCAGGTAAGACAGTCTCACCCTTCGCACACATACGTCTCCAATCGATCCACCAAACATGTCGCTTGAGAAGAGCGTCGACGCTGAGCAGTCCTCCCCTCTTGCAGGTCCTTCTGGGGAGGCTGCAGCGCCTGCTTTTACTGATGACCAGCCCAAGCCTGGCGAGCTTTGGCATGTCGGGCCTTGCCATCTTGGATACGGCCTCGACAACCAGGACTCATTCAGCCAGTACTACGAGGGTCCGTGGGAATATCTGCCCGGCGGCCATCACCCAATCCACCTTGGCGACATCATCGGCGGCCCCAAGAAGTACAAGGTCCTGCATAAGTTGGGCAGCGGGCGATCTGCCAATGTTTGGTTCTGCTCAATGCTTGGACAGGACCCGCCGTTCTACGTTGCGGTCAAGGTACTCAAGGCCTGTGCTTCCCAGCCTGAGAACAACGAACTGACCATCGGCCGCTTCTTGCGCAATATGGGATATCACTACTATGACATTGTCGACAACCTGACCTACCCCTGGCGAGACTTTACCCTCGAGGGCCCCAACGGCACACACCAATGCTTTGTTTACCCTGTCCAAGGCCCTACCGTCTGCAAGGTCGATGGTCATTTCAACAATCCGCATGTCTATCTACGAGAGCTCACGCGAAAGGCTGCTTATGCGATGGGCGTGACCCAAGGCTGTAACATGATCCATAATGGTAAGTCCCCGCCCCTGCGCATTGTTTCCCTTACAAGCAGCCACTAACCCGAGCTAGATTTCCGGCCTTCGAACATCCTGATCGAGATCGGCGGCCTGGCCGGCAAATCCGAGGAGGAAGTGATGGCCATCCTGGGCGAGCCGCAAGGCGCAAACGTCGTCAAATACCCCGGCGCCGACGCCACCGCAAACCCGCCCGAATACATCATCTTCCCAGCAAGCGAGAATCTGCTGTGCCAGTCGCGCGAGACGCTCACCGTGATCGACTTCGGCAACTCCTTCCGAGAAGGAAAAGGAAGTCCGCCGCGCGCGTCCGGTGCCCCGTCCCACTACGCCGCGCCCGAGGTGGTCTTCAGCAACCAGGGGCAGGCCAGCCTGGCCTCCGACATCTGGGCGCTGGCATGCACACTGTACGAGATCCGCTTCGGCGAGAAGCTCTTCCACTGCGAGAGCGATCACGTCGAGGGCTACATCCACGCGCTCGTCAAGCACTGCGGGAAGGTGCCGGAGCGCTGGTGGTCTGCGCCGCCGTGGAATCTCCAGGAGGCATGGCACAAGTCGCACTCGGACCCCCGGCTCCACGGCGGGCCTGCGACCGAAGAGGCGATCGAGCCCGAGGCCACGGTGCGATGGAGGCATATCCAGGCGGCGGTTGCCAAGAAGGTCGCACATCCCATCACCTCGCCCGAGTCGGTGCGCAGGTGGGAGGAGGCCCGGAGCGCCCCGTGGGTCCCTGGGACCGAGCCCGTCTCCATGGCGTTCCATGAGTGTATTCCCGAGGAGGAGCAGAGGCTGTTTGCGGACCTTCTTTACAAGATGACTGAGCTTGAGCCCGCGAAACGCCTGGTGATAGCGGAGGTTGCCGCGCACCCCTGGTTTGATTATGTGCGGCGGCACGATGTCCCGGATGGTCCTGCTAGCCCTCATGGGGTTGAGGACGTTGAGTCTGGGGCTGGAGCGTCCGATACTGGAACGAATGGCGAGGCCGAGGCCGAAGAGGGCAGCAAGACGGAACCCGAATCAGGGGAGCAGAAAGCTTGATCGGGTCTCGTCGACGAGGCTATACCTTGCACTGTCCAAGAGCAAGCGCTGGGTTGTCTTCCTCAAACCACTATAACTAGATTTACTCCTTTAATTAACCTGAATGTATTTCTATTAGTTTAAGCTTCACGACATTTACAGGGGCCAGACATGGCAAGACTGACTGCTACATGCTGCAATTGACTTGTGTAGTAGTAGTAGTAGTAGTATTTAACGCCTCGGGGGTACTAAGGCTGGTTTAACACCCTTTTTTAACCTCCCTTGGGGTATAAAGGCGGGCTAACACTAAAATAAATATAAATACAGGCCTAAGTTCCCCTAGTTCTAGGTCTTTTTAATAATATTTATTGCCTAAATAGCCACTCGCGAGTTCTTGTGTGTCAAAGGCACGTTCTTTTGAAGGTTCATGAATTGATTGATCTTGTATCTGAAGGAGGCTACCGTATGCTAAAGTAGTAACTACGGCGCAAGGGCGGTAGCCCGCGGTAATATAATGCCAAGGTGTGCCAGGTTATTATAATAGTCCCCCCTAATAAAAAAAGGAAGGGTGCCCTTATTTAAAATAATAGTTAAAATAGCACATAAAAAAAGCTTGGCTAGTTAAAAAAAAGAAATAAAAAAAGCTTAGCTAGTAATAAAATTAGCTTAAACTAAGCTAAAATAATAATAAAAGTAAAAAAATATTTTAGTTTAGTTTAGTCTTAACCTTTTTAATATTAAATATAATATATTAGTTAAGACCTTAAAAACCTGGTTATTTATTTAATAAGTAGTATTAACATTAGTAATACACTTTTAAGCTTTTAATAAAGCTTATACTATCTTATAAATAATAAAATATTTATACTTTATTATATTGAATATTATATTATTATTAATTAATAATAAATTAAGGTTTTACATGCTGGCAGGAGCTTTTACTTAAAAATAAAATAATTATATAATTAATAAGGTTTTAAGTAATATTTATATTACTGTAAAAGTATTATTGTTAGCTAAGTTTATAAAAGTATTTTAAATATTATAAACTAAGGTTCATAAGATCCTAAGTAATATTTATAAAAGTAATATTATTAAAGTAGTAGTTAGCTAAAATAAAAACTAGGTTTTAAGTAATATTTATACTAATATAAAAGTGTTATTATTAGCTAAGTTTATAAAAGTACTTGAAGTACCATAAACCAAGGTTAATAAAATTTAAAAATAAAATAAAGTTTAATATCCTAGTGCGGGAAAGTTTTTAAGTAATTATATAATAATTTAGCTAAGTAATATTTCTAGGCACTATTAGCTTATTATTTTTAAATAATTATATAATAATTTAGCTAAGTAATATTTAAGGCATTAGAACTATTAGTTTATAAGTAATAATAAAAGTTAGCTTATTAAATTTAATAAAAGCAGGATTTAATACTTTTTTAAGCCTTTACTTTTATTACTTAGTAATTATTAATATTATTATTAAAGCAGGTGGTGGAATTAGTATGTTTTTTAATTATTTTATAAACTAACTTTATACTATGAATAATAGTAATTTATTAAAAATTAAGTAACTAGGTTTAGGCTTTTATAAAGTTAGGCTTAATTTTTATAAACTAAGTAAATTAAACATGCTATAGCTAACAAGCTTATTTTAAAATCAAGGGGTAATAGGCTTATTTAGGCTGGCTTATTTTAAGATTTCTTGGTTAATAATTTCTTGGTTAATAAACCTTAGGTAGTAGCATGTTTTTATATTAATAAAGTTTTATTATTTTAAGCATTTTTCTTGGGAGCAGGTTTCTTGGTTAATAAACTTTAGCTATTTTTATTTCTTTTAATATTAATAAAAATTTTAGATTAGGGCTTTACACGGCAGCTTGGCGTAACTTTTTTTAGGATATAAAAAGCTTTTTTTTTAAAAAAAAATTAAAATAACCTATTATCTTAGGTTAACCGCTATTTACCTTAGATTTGCTTATTATTTTAGATTTATCCTGCGTATGTGCGTTGGAGTCATGCCTGGAGTTATTTATATTAAAAGTATTATTATCTTTAAAGTTATTTACGTTGGAGGCATTTATATTAAAATTATTTATATTATTTATATTATTTATATTAAAGAAAAATATCTATATTAAAATTATTTTTATTAAACTTTAATATAATTAGCTTAGATTTATTATTTAATTAAAACTTAGTATTTTTATTACTACGCTTTATTAAGGCGCCTTTAGGGGTTAGGCCTAGTTTATAATATTTTTTTAATATTTTTTTATTTTTATAACTAGGAGATTTTAATTATATATTACTTAAAATTAATATACTTTTATATTTATTATATCCTCGCCTTTAAAAATTAGTAAAAAGTAAGTTTTAAATAAAGGGTTCAATAAATCCCGGCTGGCTATTTATAAAAAACTATAAGTAATAAAACTATTTAAAAAGTAAATATAAATAATTACTTTTAATAAACTAAGTAAACTTATTTTATTTTATTTTTTATATTAATTATATTACTAGGCCTTTGCCCGGGGGAATAATATATATAAAAAATATTCAATATATAATAGCTAGTTATAATAATTAAAAATAAAAATAAAGTATTATTCGCGCTAGTAATTTTAACTAGGTAAAGCTTTATGTTAATAATAAAGCTAAAAATAAAATTAAAGTTCAAAAAACCTAATAAAATTAAGCTTTTTAACCTTTAGGCCTTTATAAATATTAAATTTTTTTATATAAAATTATTTGCCTGTAGTAAACTAAAAACTAAAATTATTTATAAGTATAAATTTAAATTATTAGTTTTATAGGCACTTTTTTACTTTTAAGTTTTTATTTAAATTAAAATTATATAAATATTACTTATATTTTAATAAGCTATTTATAGCATGTAAAATAAAAAAGGTATTAATATTTAATATACACGTGCCTTTTAATAAAAAGCTATAAATTTTAGGGTTTTTAATTATTATAGCAAGTTTAATTACTAGTTTTTTATTAACTTTTTAATTATTTAAGTTAGTATTATTATTAATTACTTTTATTTAGGGGTGGTTATTATTATTCTCTTTTATATATTAATAGGTTTAATAGGTTAAATAAAAATTATAAAGGTTATATCATTTATAATAGTGCTTTATATAACTCTTTTAATCTTTATTGTATTTTAGGTTTATTTTATTAATAATATTAACATGGTTAACCGTTTGAATTATTTTTATCTTCTCCATGTTAATTAAGATCAAGGTGAGAAAGAAAACAAAGCAAGAAAATAAAGTAAGTGGCTAAAAAGATTTAAGGTAGAAAAAGAAATATAACTAAGCAACGCAAGAAAAACAGGTAAGTAGTAGTAAAAGATGCTTTAAGGAAATTAAAGGTAAGAATAAAGAGGAAGCTTGCTTGCAGGAATAAAAAATAAAAAGGGAGCTTGCGTAAAGTTAGGAAAAAAAGAATAAGAATAAATTTAGAGAGCTTGAGGGAATAAGAGAATAAGAATAAATTTAAAAAGCTTAAAAAATAAAAAAAAATAAGAATAATAGCTTGCTTAAAGGCACCGCTAAAGCGGACCTTAAGCTTTAATTAAAAAGGTAAAGCTTTAGGTAACTAGTAAGCTAGGAAAATTTAAAGTGGTAATATAAAAAAGGTAGGGAGTAGTAGTGTAAAAAGGTACGAAAGTAATATAAAAAATAATAAATTAACAATAAATAAAGTCACGTAATAATTAAATAAAAAAAATATTCTAGCATTACTTTAGGTAAGTTTTATTATATTTTTAACTAACTTTTTACGCCCTTAAGTTTTAATTTTAATAACTATTAATTATTCTTAGTTTTATAGCTTATTTAGTGTACTAAGTACTTTATTACTAGTATATACTTATATTTTATATATATTATCTTTTTATTAATTTTTTTTTATTTTATACTAATTGTTATTAAATAAAAAGTTTTTATTAAGTATTACACTAGGCTTTATTGGCTATTAATTAAAAAAGTTTTTTTAAGTAGTTTAAGCATTTGCATTAAGATAACAGGGTAAAATTATTATTTTTTAAAAAAGTTTAATTCATGTATTAATTAGCTTACTTAGTATATAATATAAAAAAGACCCGTGAATTATTAGCTTAGCTTTTTTAGAACTTACTTATTTATAGAAATATTATATTTTTAATAAAAATATAATAACACCTTATAATTAATAATAAAAATATTACCTAATATTTATAATTATAATGTTTTTTATTTAAACCATGGTAAATAATAAAGCCTTTTAAGTATTATATTATATTGTTAAAAAGATGACCTAGGCGCCTTAATAAGTTTTAAGCTTGGTAAAAAAAAATTAGCTATATAATAACTTATAAGGGCTATATTTAATTAAAAAATTCTTTAAATTATTAAAGCTATAAAAAATATTATTTTAAAGTAATTAAATAGTTAGTAAATTTTTTAGAATCTTAGTCTTTTTCTATTCAGCTAATTTTAATTTAACTATAGTATTTAATAAACTAATTATTAAACTTTTTAAAATTTTAGTAGTTTATTTGTCAAAATATTTTTAAGATACTTATCACACCGCTGAGCCTTCGGCCAAACCCACTAGGCCGCTCCGGGCCTAGTAGGTCAGCCACATAGTAATAATAATTTTAAAGTAATAATAATTATAAATTTTAATTATATATACTATTTTTAAATAATTATAACTTTACTAATTTTTATTATAGTATATTTTAGTAAAAATAAATTAAAGCTTTAAAAAGCACTTTTTTTTTACTACTTTATAAAGTTTTTAAAACCCAAGCTAAATATATAAAAAATTATAAATAAATATTAGGTTAATTATTAATACCTATAAAAATAAATAAAGGAAACTAGGCCTTATATAATATATTAAAAATTTAAAAAATACTTTATTAACACGCAGGAAAAGGTCTTATTAACCTATATTACTTAATATAATAAATTATATATATTATTAAACCCTACCTAAATTAAACATGCGGCTAATACTATTTT